AGTGTGATGGCTACCATGGAGGAAGTCCCGGTGTCAGTTGAGCAGGTGGTAATGGTAGATCCTGAGGGAGAGGGTGAACCTCTGAATGATTGTACTAAAGCTCAGGTGATCCTTCAACTCCAGCCAATATCTACTGGGTATGTACTAAAGCAATACAACAGAGACCAAGATATTTCAAATTTGCAACACATAGTTACAGTAAAAGAACTAGTTTCAAAAATATTTTCATGAACTAAGTGCATTTTCACTGCTTTGAACTTTTTGAAACAGTGAAATCGATGTTTCTTAACCTGATGTTGATGTGACATGAATAAACTACTAATTTAGCCAGATTTAACAATCACCATCAGCAAAGTGTTGAACTGTCTCTTTGAACATGTGTACAGTTTTTATTTGTGTTAAAGTTAATGGTGAAAGCTGTACATTTTACATTGCAGTACACATGATTTGTCGTCATTGATGCACTTAAATCACTAACTAAATATAGGAAATGGTCATTGTCATCTGCATTAAGAAGAGTAGCTTTAGTTTGACATAGATGTTCTGAAATAAAAGGTTTAATAGTATAAAGCTGTTTATCATCAGGGTCAGTATGCACCTTGGTTTTAGGTTCACAAGGTTCAGCACAGTTCCATCAGTGTACAATGCAATTGGAAAAGACTCAAAATACCTAACTTCACAACTTAGCATGTATTTTCAAATTCATTAAGCAGTCCAATGTACAAGTATCTGAGATTAATGCTGCAGCCTATGGTGTAAACTGTAAACCATGAACATTACCTGCTCCCACCCATCTTAGTGATTATAAGGACTAATTAGAGGACTAATTAGAACTAAATTAGAATGTATGGGTTAACTTGCCAATGCATCTCAAATAAGGATGTCCAATATTAACTTTTTGGCAATATCCAATATGCCAAATATAATTTCTGATTATGATATCAACCGATACCAAAATATCCAGTTGTTTATCCCCAAAACTATTTTTAGGTCACATCGCATATTTTGCGGATTATTGGAGATTAGAGTTGTCCGATAATATCGGCCGACCAATATTATCCTTAATCTCAAATAATCGTGCTAGTAGCCTTTCAAATGACATTTGGCATTCTACATTGACATCCAGCATCTTTTTAAACTTCGTTGAACTTGCACTGGAATCCAACAATGAGGACCAACACATTAAACTTATGTGGGAGTCTTTTTACTCTACTTTTACTAGTTAATGTTATTGAAGTTACTGCAATCACAAATCGATGAAGATACAAGTGGGGTGGTTTCATTAAAATTTTAACTAAAACTTTTTTTCTTTTTTTTCCAGTGATGAATGTTCTCAATCCGATGTGACTGCCATGGCGGTTGAATCCACACCAGGTAGAGTTCACAAACTCAATTTAGCGGAGGAGAGGGGGTAATTAACATTCAGTGAAATAACTGTTTTAATATTTGTGCAGGTGGTCTCAATTTTGAGTCATTTTTGTCTTTTTTCCCTGATACTTCCTGTAATACAAATGCCACACTTCTTGTGTTTAACCCATGGGCGTCAAGCCCGTTGGGGATGTTGCAACACCAACAGTTTTTCAACAAGGAGATCCCCCCCACACACACAAACACACACCCGGGAAGAGTACCAACATACTGAAATGGAGCGCAAATTGGTCAATTTAGATTGATTGACAGCCATGCAGCCAATTACAGCCATTTCACCAAACACACTAAACAGTTACCGCAGACAGCAAACAGAGCAGTATTTAACTAGTTAATAAGCTAGAATTTTCTCTGTAAATAACTAAACTATGCCTTGCTTTGTAGCATGTCAGCTAAGAATAATGTTACAATGACAATAAAGACTATTCTATAATAAGAAAGCCAGGTGGCAAACAAGCTTAATGTAAGCCCAGTAAAGTCAAAGGTAACTGACAGTTTTCTAGAGCCATCTACTGATTTTGATATTATTCAACATTATCATTATTCTTTTTCTCTTTTTCAAGTCAGGTTGACATGTACGTTAACTTAACAGGGAAACAGAAAGCTAGTTCTCAATCCATAATTGCACTATTTCAGCTCTGAGCATGGCACCGTCCTCACACACTGCTCCCCGGGCAGCTTAAAGTTGCCCACTGTTCACTTTGATGATGGTTTAAAAGCAGAGGTCACATTTCGTTGTGTGCTGTGTCACAATGACAAGTAGTTCACTTTCTTTCTTGATTGAGTACATACAAGTTAATGACTTATCCTGCTAAGGCTAACTAGGCACGTGACTGGCACCATGACATTGTCAGTTCTCCCAAGTATGCTTGCCTTCTCACTCAGACATACACACTTATCATTACCATGCTTGCGACCATACACTCTATCTTAAATCTTAAACTATTATCTAATGTATAAATTCTAAGAACCAAAACATGTACGAAAATATCCAAATGAAAGTCTCAGTGTAGTCTCAGTAGAAGGTCAACGCCACATGTGTCAAACTCAAGGCTTGCAAACCAAAGGTGGCCTGCCAGGTCATTTTGGGTGGCCCACAGGAACTTAAAATGTGTTTAATTGCCTTAAAGTGAAGACCATGCAGCTGAGTTTCTTAACTCAGATTAACTCTTAACTGAGATGGGTGAACATGTGCTGAGGAGAGATAGTAAATATATTGGACAGATGTTGTGGAGACGGAGTTGCCCAGAAAGGGGCAAAGATGGAGAACCCAGAGGAGATTTGTGGATGTTGTGAAAGAGGACATGGAGTTGGATGTCGAAGCAGAGAAGGCAGTAGATATGGTAAGATGGAGGCAGATGATCTGCTGTGTCTATTCCTGAAGAAACAGCCAAAAGAAAAAGAAAGTAGGCAGGGTATGAAGTTTTAGGTATTACGTAGTAATACAGCTTAATAAAGAAGACACACATTTCTACATGCATTGATTGCAAAAAAAAAAAAAAAAAACAAATATGGCCCCCTCCTACATTTTATGTACTAACCTATGTCCGATGTATCAGAGGCTGAATATGGTCCAGGCAGTCACTGCAACAAGGCTTAGGAGTCAGATATGGCTCAGGAATCGCTCATTTTCTTACCTTCCCCTTTAGCTGTTTTTCTTCATTCCCTGTCTCTGCCTCTTGTGCTACTGCTGCTGTTGTGTATGACGCAAACAGACACATACAGTATACACACACATAACATGCGGCTTAAGTAACTAGTTTTTTAAAAACTATTAAAAAAACAAAAACAGATCCTTCTCCCAGTATATATACATTCACCTTTAAGAGCTGGTTCACAACTGACAAGTCACTATTCAGAACAGACTGTACAGACTGCTACTTTCTGTGTCACCTTTGTGAAAGGGCTCCAGGACTATCCATGGTATGGATACAGAAAAACATTGTAAGGCACTAATCACTATCAAGTGGGTTGTTGACAGTAATATGTTGATGTGATGGGTTTAAGACTTCTGATGTATAAGTTAGAACTTTTTATTAGTTTGAAGAAGTAATGCCATCTTTCTATCCTTTTTTTTAATTCTTACAGAAAAAGCGGACGGAGATGATGCCGAAATTTGCTGCCCAATAACTTGTGGTGACTGCAAAGCCATACTACTTGTGAAGAAATTTGTGTGCCCAGGAATCAACGTCAAGTGTGTAAAGGTTGGTGAGGGTGATGATTTTGCCCTTGAATTATTGTTTTTGCACACATTTTCCAAATCACTTTAACTTATTCTATACTGAGCAGCTTTGAACACCATGTGCAATAAGTGTGACATTTTTTATAAGTGATAAATCTCAACTTTTTGTGTGTTTGTTGTCCAGAACACAACACAAACGCCTCGTCAATCATTTCTCGGGTGCGCTGCTTTATTCCCGCATCCAAGTAATGATCTTTATTTTTATTTATTTATTTTATGGTCTGTATTGTCATTGTACCACGGGAATACAACAAAACTGAGCCTCTGCTTTAAACCCATCACAAAGGTGAGCAGTGGGCAGCTTTAAGTACCCTAATGCGGATCAAGTACAGTCGTGTCAAAGTGCAGAGGATCCGAATAGCTCTCAGTGAAATGCATGCTGACAAACTCTATGAGTGTACTTTTTGCCCCAGTGGTTCTTTCTCAGATATATTGAATTACGTCCACACCGCAGATGTTCAGACAAACCCTAGCTGGCCGCGTTGTTTTGGTGATAAATGTTTTTAGTTTTTGGTGCATCCCTAATATGGAGAAAGAAAGAAATTGGTAAAGATAGAAAGAAAGAAAGAAAGAAAAAACTTCATCCCTCAGAGGTTTTCTTTGGGAAATTAAGGACGTTGATGTTGTTGTTACTGGTATTATTGGTGGTATTGTTATTTTGACCAATAATATTTTAGTGCATGTTGGACTTGGCTTTCAAATTGCATTCATAACAACACCTACACAGATTGCTCATTTTTTCTGGTTTGCCTTTTTTTTCCTGCTCTAGTTCACATGTGGCTATGAGTTTATATTTTGCTATAGCTAACTTGCCCAGCTCCAGCAATGTATTTGCTGGAGCTTATAGTTTATATTTGGGCAAGTTTATATTTATTCAGTTAAGAACTAAATGGCTAATAAAATCTAATATCTAATCTAAATCTAAAATCAGAAATAATGCAATTCCTGAAAATATTTTACACTTGTTAACATTACCAGACAACTTTTCAAATCCAAATCAATACTCAATTGGTACAGTTTCTAATTTACGATTTTCTGCATCAGTATGAAGACCAGCTTATCAGCCCAAAGCAGTTTGTGCACATCTCTGGAAAAGCGACTCTGAAAGACTGGAAGAGAGCCATCAGGATAGGCGGGGTCATGCTCAGGTAAGGAGCCTTATGTTCTAGTCTAGTTCTGTCACTATGTTTTAATTTATAACCCAAATTAAAGATAAGAGAGAAAGTTTAAGTTTAACTAAAATTGGACAAGTTACTATATGTGCCAAAACAATAAGAGACTGAAATATAAATTATTTATATAACGTTGTCAGTTACTGTTGAAATAAAAAAGTTTTTATCACATAAATATATTGTCCACACAGTGAGTATAGACCTGTAAAAAATCAACCATTTAAATTACTGATTCTCTTGTTTCACTGATGTATGACAGCTTATGTTCTTCTCTGCAGAAAAATGATGGATTCAGGTCAGCTGGACTTTTATCAGCACAGCACACTGTGCACAAACACATGTCGCAGCACTAAGTTTGACCTTCTCATCAACAACACACGAATTCCATCAGAGAGTGGCACACTGCCTATGTCCTGTCAAGGTGAGAATTTGACACAGCATGACATTGGAGGATTGGATTTTTTTTTTATTTGACAATTCAGTTTAAAGGGTAAATATATACATAAATAATATAATAACTATCTTGCCTCTACTTCGCGGATTTTCCTTTTTTGCGGTGGGTCTTGAAACTAACTACCAAGGGACCACTGTAGTTGCTGTTTTTTTTTGCTATTTTTTGAAGAGTCCATGACTTTTAAATTCCAAAATGGCCAAAATAATAATAGTAATCTAGACCATGGGTGACACACTACCATGGTACTTAGTGGTCTTGGTTGCAAACAGTCCAGTTGATTCCCAGTGACTATTGGAGTTAGCTCCAGGTCCCCCTGCCACCCAAAAAAAGATCAAGCAGTAGAAAATGAATGAATGAACAAACCTAAAGATGAATAAACCAGTCTTTTCTGAAGCTTTTTTGTAGGGATGTTCAACAGTATTGGCCCCGATATTAGCATAATTATGTAAATTCTATAAGAATCAGTAAAAGTTTTTCCTCCGATAATGAAAACACAATAACGCAAGCCTGGGTTTACGACAGATATGTTGGAATTGCTTTAAATGTAATTTGTACAGACAATTCTAATTTGTAGAATGCCTTTAGTGGTAGGGTAGAGGGTGCGAAAATGTGCGAATCAAAGAGGGACCCAGCAGAGAAAGTTTAGGAACCACTACCATATTGTACTCAGTGCTGTGGCTGTAAGCCCACTTTAAAAAGGAACCATCTGTATAGTATTTGTTGAAATGTCAATATCATCAGATTGTTTCAATTGGCTTTGTCTGTAGTCTGAATAAATAATTTCCTTTCTGTATGAATTGAGTAGTTTTGGGCAATGACGGAGCAGGGGTAAAGGACAGACCCGAAGCTGTGGCTGGAAAGGCAGACTGGAGTGCAGGGTCACAGGAGTTGACAGAAAAGAAGGAACACAGAGAGATCTCAGGTTGGAAAGACTGCACACAAAAGCAAAACTCACTGTCACTGCATTGGAAGTCTCACATATGGTCAGTAAGCTATTAACTGAAACTTGAAACTTTTGTCTGTTCACAGATGACACATTGAACTTCTGGAAGGGTATTGCAGATGTGGGTCTGCTTGGTGAAGTTGTTACCAACGTCAGCACTGAGCTGTTGGCATTGCTGAATGGTGTGCAGCAGCTGAGGGATCTAACTGCTTTACAGGACACTGGTACATAATGATGCTACATCTGTATACTGGCTTGCTAAAGGATTGAGTTCATGGTTTCAATGATATTGAATCAAGCATGTGTACAGGTAAAAATGAGACATCTTTGACAATGCAGGACAAAAAGAAAGTCCTCACTTAACGATGTGTTCGTTAAAGTCCACATCGGAGTTGCGACTCACTTTCCTAAAGTGTGTTTACAACGAGAAGATTGCACTGGCAGCGGAGTTGTTCTCTTCAATTTGCAAAGTTATTACAATATAGGACAATTTCATCCTGACATGATGTCTGGAAAATGTAAGACTTCTCCTGATGGAACTGCTGTTAAGAAGCAAAGGAAAGACATCGATCTAGATATAAAAATAAAAAGAATTAAGGAGTATGATGGCGGTAAGAAGGTCCAAGCGATCGCAAACATTTATGGTTTCTCTCATTCGACAGTGTCAACCATCGTAAAAGACCAAAGTGAAAATGACAGTTCAAAGGGATCAATAAAGTTCAACCTTAACCTTGATTGAGGACCAGCTGTATAGCTACTGGTACAAACAAAATTTAAAAAAAAATCTTTAAGCTTAATAAGATAATGGTCATATAATACAGACAAATTAGTTAATTAACTAGGTGACTGATTTAAAATCCCTTTTGGTGGATGGCCACACTAATCCCAGATTCCTGTTTGCCAGAGGTTGCAGTGCTCAGTAATCTCGCTAAAGTGTTTGGCTTGCTTGATTCTGTGAAGAAGGCGCTGGAGAGACGGAAGCAGTTGACAGATTCAAGTCAGCAGCAGATCTTCAGCACCCTCAGCAGTGAGTTGACAACAAAAACACACCAGTATATTTTAGAGAACTGTTCTATTGTCATCTTATTGCTTTGTAAGAACACTGAAGAAGAGACAGGCTCTAGCCTATTATTGAATGATGGCTCTAGCCTTTTATTGGATGATGGGTCTAGCCTATCATTGAATGATGGCTCCATTGGATGATGGCTGTGGCCCATCTCAGCCAGCTCTTTGTTTTTAAATGCAAACAAGGCTAACTAGGCTAATAACTTTGATTTTATAATTGATTTTCAGATGGGTACTTTTACTTGGGTAGAATTTAAGCAAAGAAAAGATACTTTTACCTAATTACATTTTTTAGAACTTTTTTCATCTCTGCCCTTTATTCAAAACATTTCCGTAATTTCCGGACTATTGAGTGCACCTGAAGCTGCACCCACTAAAAGAATATATATATATATATATAATACAATTTTTTTTTTCCTTTTTTATAGATCATGTTTAAACAATGTACATCACCTATTAAGGGACCTTGAAATACAATTAAGGGTACATTACCAGTGCTGACCAATTTGATGTAATATTTAATAAGACAATCCATGTGTAAATTTTTTTTTTGGTAGTTTTACATCTTTACAAGCAAAATTACCAATGGTAATGGGTGAGTCAGTAGAGGTTTGAAGAATGACTTAGATTCTGCCTTGAAACTTTTTTTCCCAGTTGTGTAAACTGGTTTTTCCTCTGTGTTTTCTGTTCTCAGGGATGTTGAGATCGCTGATGCGACAGGGTCAGTATGTCTGCCAGGAGTGTGGGAAGAGCTTCAGTCAGCCCAGTCACCTGCGCACTCACATGAGATCTCATACAGGTAAATTAAAGCTAATACTAAAGACCCGTTTAAAAAGAAGAAAACATATATTACAACTTTACAGTGCTGTAGCAGAGATTACATCACACAGAGAAGTTTTCTGAGTAAAAACAAACATCCATCAACTTAAAATAAAAATTAAAATGACATTTTAACAGGCATCAATAAAAAATGTGTTTTTAAAAGATTATGGAGCTTATAATTAAGTAATAACAAGGAGCAGTCGTTTCAAGGCTATAGCCTGAAGTTTGAGGACGAGTTGCAGAAAAATGGCAGAGGGTGTGCTGCCAAAAATTCCTGCATCCACTACAATGACAACAGTGGGGACCGAAATAAATTGGTTTCATTTCCTATCTGTCCATCACCAAAGCAAACAAGAAGGGGCTCTGGGCCGATCCTTGATGTAGTCCCACCTCCACCTTGAAGTCATCTGTCCTTCTAACAGCACACCTCACCACTGTTGTACTATTCTCATACATGTCCTGCACCAAACTAATATACTTCTCTGCCACTTGTCCGTCTCTAAAATTCTGTTAAACAACCTAGTCAGGAAATCTACCACGACTTCTCCTGAACACTTCCATCGGGACCAACTGACTTTCCACTCTTCATCCTCTTCAGGGCTTTTCTTACTTAATCCTTTCTAATCTGATCTACCTTCTTCCTAATAGTTTCTGGTTCCTCGTTTCTACTTTCCCTTTCATTTTCCTCATTCAACAACTCCTCAAAGTATTCCTTGCATCTTCTCAGCACACTTTCCTTCCTTGTGATTACATTCCTCTCTCTGTCCTTAATCAACCTTAACTGCTGTACATCCTTCCTAGCTTGATTTCTCTGTTTCGCCAATCTATACAACTCCTTTTCTCCTTCCTTTGTGTCCAAACTCTCATACAACTCCTCATATGCCTTTTGTTTGGCCTTGGCAACTTCCCTCTTTACCTCCCTTGTCCTCTCTTTGTACTCCAGTCTGTTCTCTTCTGTTTTGTCACTATCCAATCTCTTCTTCGCTAATCTCTTTCTCTGCACACTCTCCTGGACCTCATCATTCCACCACCAGGTCTCTTTGTCCTTCTTTCTCTGCCCAGCGGACATACCTAGCACCTTCTCACCTGTCTCCCTAATCACTGCAGCTGTAGTCTCCCAATCATCTGGGAATTCCTCAACACGGCCCAGAACTGCCCCTAATTCTTTCCTGAAGTCTTCACAACTTTTCTCTTTCCTTAATTTCCACCACTTGATCTTCTGCTCTGTCTTCACTCTCTTCCTCTTTTTCACCTCCATCATCATTTTTCACACTACCATGCGATATTGTTTGGCTACACTCTCATCTGCCACCACTTGGTGAGACTGTAAAGTCATTAATCTCTGTCAGATTAGCTCTTCTAGATAGAATATAATCTGTGTGGACCTGCCTCCACTCTTGTACGTCACCTGTGTTCCTCTTTCTTTTGGAAATAGGTGTTTACCACAGCCATTTCCATTCTCTTTGCAAAATCTACCACTGCCTGTCCTTCCAAATTTTGATCCCTAACGCCAAACCGGCCTTTCACTTCCTCATCTCCTCTGTTCCCTTCCCCTACATGACCATTAAGGTCAATCCAATCACCACTTTCTCTCCCCTAGGGATACTCTCTATCATCCAATCCAGCTCATTCAAGAACTTCTCCTTTTCTTCTAACTCACAGCCCCCCTGTGGGGCATAACCACTAACAACATTAATCATCACGCCTTCGAGTTCTACCTTCACACACATCAATCTGTCTGACTCTCGTTTCACCTCTACCACATTTCTTGTATATTCCTCTTTCAGGATCACCCCTACTCCATTTCTCTTCGCATCTGAACCATGATAAAACAGTTTGTAACCTCCTCCAATGTTTCTAGCTTTGCTGCCCTTCCACCTGGTTTCACACAAAATGTCTACTCTTCTTCTCTCCATCATATCAGCGAGTTCTCTACTTTTCCCTGTAATTGTACCTACATTCAGAGTTCCAAACTTCAGACCAACCCTTCTATCCTTCCTCTTTTTGTCCAAACACAATTTCCACCAGTACCCTGCAGGTCAACAGCACTGGTGGCGGTCGTTGTTAACCTGGCCTCGACCGATCCAGTATGGAAAGTTTTAGTGATTCGCATATTTGATTTGGCTAAAAGTTTTACGCCAGATGCTCTTCCTGACGCAACCCTCACCACTTATCCGGGCTTGGGACCGGCACTATAGTATCACTATAGTAGCACTGGCTTGTGTACCCTAGTGGCTGGTTTATCCTTTTATTTATATATTTTTTATATATAAATAAAAGCTGCAGGTGTCCACATAGTAACATGGAATATTTACACAGAAAGATGTTAGACAAAGATTTTATTTCACTTTTAATTAATTTTTTTTCCCAACAGTACCTGTAACACGGCTGGTAACACATTAGCTGTTTACATTACCTCCGGGGCTAACTCTCTTCACTTTGTGCTTGTCCACAGCAGAGGTAAACAGAAACAGGGAAGTTGGGGTCTTTATTATAAGTCATTACAACATTACAGGGCTCAAACTGCTCTCAGCTTTCGCTACTGTTCTCTCTCCGGGCCCCCACACATATACGCACACAGCCATTCACAGATAAACATACGCTACTGGTATAACACACAGTAGCCTACCAGAAAAGCCATTAATCACTAGCGGTATTAACTTCGTTAGCCCGTAAAAAAAAATCCATAAATTAGCAGCATCATTCTTTTAGCCACAGGGTTCAAAGCTTGTGAAAAAAGTAGCGGCTTTTAGTCCGGAGATTACGGTAATTAATAATTGTGTAAATGATTTAGCATTGGATGATTACATCCATCACCTGTTCTATTTGGTGGTGAATGTCAGTACATTTTTGCGTTTTTTTACAGACCTAGAGCTACAGTTGGAGCAACAAAAGAAGCAGCAGCAGGTGCGGACCCCTGTTATCTGCCCACAATCAATCAAAAGCAAACCCTCCAAGCGCCAGACTAAACGACCTCGTTTCCAGAGGCCTGCCTCCACCACCACCCTCTCCCAGCAAGCCACCATGCAGCCCCAGCAGCTAACTGTCCTTTCGCCAATCTCGTTGTCGTCTGTTGGTCAGCCATTCACCATGACGGGCCTGCCAATTGCCTCAATCGCTCAGCTGTCCAACACAGTAACACTGCTTCCTGCCGGATCACAGTTTTTCACCCGCTACATGGTAGGCGGAGGTGGAAAGCAAGACACCATTACCTTGCACCCGTCCTCATGTCTTACACAGCTGGGCACAATGGTTAGTCCATTAGAATTGGTGCATCTGAACCAGCAAAGTGGCAGCACAGAGGTGCTCCCCCTAGAGGGCCAGGTGGTGGACAACACCATGCTAGTGCAAGGTGGGTTGGACTCCAGCCAGGAGCACACTGTCATTGAGATCAATCCAACATCAGGTGAGCAGGCTGTGGGGGTGTTGGAGCTGCAGCTCAGCAGGCATTCAGGCCCAAACCAAGCTGCGTTGGTTGTCCAGAGAGAGATGGAAGTCACAATGGCCGCCAAAGAGGAGGACACTCGGTGCCAAATGCAAGAGGGACAGTCTAATGGTTTTCAAGGACTGCAGTTGGACGCCAATGGACAGTTGTCAAATGTACAGATAGTTGTAATAGGGGAAAACACTCAGGAAGAAAATAAAGAGGACTAACATGCAATTCTTTTATATCCAACAGTGCAGAAATTAGTTGAACTGCCACACCCAATGCCAAAGCATCTAATTCTGTGAATCCAGTGTTTCAGGTGTGGCCTCATCCACTAATTACCCCTCCAACTTCAGGCTGTTAGAGTGAAGGAACTTAGCAGTCGGTCTTGTAATGTTTTATCAGCTTTAGTTTTTTGTTAAAAGACAGGGATAGCAACATTTCTGCTCTAAGAAGGAGATGGCTTACATGAGTGAGTGAAAATGTGTTTAGTAATGTAAAACTGTCACTTGCAAAATCCAATTCAAATAAATTTTTATTTGAGACAGTAAGGTGTTGTTGGTGAGAAGAAGCCCACCATTTCATTGTCCACTTTTTTTTTTTAACCTAGAGCATTTCAGGGGACAGCACCTGTGAGGTGGTCATTCCTGAGAATGGTGATTCCTTTCATGAGCTACCTGAGAATAGATTATTGTAATTGAAATAAAATGAAATGTAATTGAATATGAAAGTTGAAATTTGTTTCATAAAACCATTCATTGTAATAATGAATAATAATAATGAAAGTAAAATTTAGAGGCAACTAAATGGTGAAGATGGACTTTGAATAGTACTGGAATTTGAAGAAATGTTCCGAATGTAAACAGGGTAGAGGAAGGAATACACATACATTTAAATCCATATGTTAAAATAACATCAGACTAAACATGATGGGAAAAATTACATACTTTATTTTTAAATTAAGCAGTAGTTCCACAGCAATGAGAAGGAAATTAGTTAAATAACAAAGACCTTTGCTCAGCCCCTATGAATGCCCCTGATGAAGAGGTAAGAAAATCTAAGAAGTCGGAGTAAACCACATCTGGTTAAGTATTCCAATACAAAGCCAGTATATTAACTGTATAATAAAACAAAATTGACTAGTTTTCCAGCCATGAAAAATTTAAATGTTTTGGAAATGCTTTTTATTATAACTTTTCAGACCCTGTTCAGCACTCCCAGTTAAGAGAATGTTGCTAGTTTTGTTCGGCAATGCACAGTAGACCAGTAACACCTGTTGTGAAACTTGGGCTTGTTTAGTTAAACAAAATGTGGTAACAATTGGAAACGAGTGCCACAAAGGACCAGAACAATTTTAAAGCATAACTAAGAGAATAATAAGAAACAAAATGCAGAAAAAGACAACTTTACATTACTCTACAAAGACAGAGAAATGTGAAGATCTGGGGGGAAAGCCAGTAAGAGAGTTTTCCATTTGTTTTGGTGGGAACATTTTCATTTGAAGGACATTATTTAGGTTTTTATTGACCATTTTACAGTGATAAAATTGAATGATAACCAATATGTGTTTTTTTCAGCAGTTTTACAGTGATGTTTGTTGCACATGTGTTAAGTAAACTCTGAGAAAACAAAAATTAGAATATTTCTTGGAAAAATACAGGTTAGGAAGAAAGGGGGTTAATATTGCCCAACAAGTTAGCTAATACTGCTAATGTTGTGTTTGCCCTATCCTATGATATATTACTTGTGTCATAGATTTTACTTTTAAGCTGTTGTGATGGGAGAGAAATACACATAGAAGCAGGCGCCAAGCATGTGGTTCCTTCACCACATGCTCAGAGCCTGCTGGGGGCAGCCTGTTAACAGCATATCTGCTGTCACAAGAGTTTCCCAAATATGGGATCAGTAATCTAGGTATGCAAGGTGCCATTTTTCAGACTATTCAGAAGTTACTCAAGAGTATAAGTCGCAAATCCAGCCAAAGGATGGATAAAGGTGCGACTTGTAGTCTGGAAAATATGGCACTGAAGAAAACTACATTTTTTTAAAGCAGTAAGACAGGCGTGGGCCAACTTTTTGACTCATGGACCACAATTGTCCTAAAATTGAACAGTGGGGCCCATCAGGGTCAGATAGATGGAGTGTTTGTGTAAATTAAGATAAACGACATTTTAAAGTCATGCATAAAAGCTAAAATGCTTGTATTATTTTCTACACCATCTATTGAGGAAACGTAAGTTTTGCTGGAAAAAGGCAGAAGTGTAGTGATAGTATAAATAAAATTTTGAAAAAGTTTGGTGGGCCGCATCCAGCCCCATGTCTGCATTGAGGATGGGAGCATGTAGAAAATAGCAGAAAATAATTGAGAAACACTGATCTAAAGTAAGTAAGCAGTGCTGAGTGAATTGTGTGGATTTTACAGAAGAGAGACCTACTAACAGCTTCCAAAGTGTGTAAATAGAATGGGAGGTAGAGCTTACAGCCACAGGTTTCTTACCTCTGGTACCATGCTTCTCTCTCCAACGTCACTGTCTTCTTGTGCCTCCAGAACTACAGGACCTGTTCCAGATCTGATATTGTTCATATTTCTTTCATCAGAACTACTTTTATATTCAACAGACATGATACAGTTTTTCCTACACCTGTGCTGTTTGCTACTCTTTCCTCTTCCCTTTTCTTCCCCTATGCTGTCTCCCCAATTTTTTTCTCCCTTCCTCTCTTTGCCAAGGCAGACGGCAACACTGAGTCTGTATCTGTGGGGATTTCTTCTCAATAAGCTTAGTGTGTGACTTTTATCTTGCTTTACTGTGAGATGTACTGGTAATTTAAAATTAGTATAAACGTTGACATTATACATTCCTCCATTTTTCCCCTTGTTAAATTGGTTTTTAGAAGGATATTTTAAGTTTGATTTCAAATCTAATTTTAACAAATGTGTTTTGTGAATTTGGTCTATACATCTAAAGTTGACTTTCTTGGAAATGTTTTATCTTATTTGACATCAGCATTGAAACACATGAAAGGGACATGGGAATTTACATAGGAGTGAAACAGTGGTTCTGTTATTTTCTGTTATGCCCCAGACAGAAATGTTTTCACACTCCCTGCCCCCGATCAACACCCACGCAAATTGAAATACTATTGAGAACCTAATAACATGTATATTTTTGTCTCTACATCCCAACGTTTGAGTTGCTGCCACCTAGTGACTGGAGGCGTGTTATCATTCAAGCATTACAGCAATGGAACACTTATGTCCAGTGTGCCATATTCTCACTGTGCCCCCCCAAGGGGGCCCGCCTCACTATTTGAGAAGCACTGGAGTAAAAGGACCATGTTGCATTAAAATCTAAAATCACACATTTGTGAGAAAATAAAACATGAATTTCTTAAAACAAAATACGTCAGAAAAAAGTAGTAAATTGTCAGAGAATAAAGCTTTTACAAGAAAATAAAGTACTTTTATGAGAATAAGAGTACTTTGTGAAGTTATACTTGAGTAGTAGTAGAGGCATCACATCTTCTTTTGGTACATCTGCATCACAATGGCATCAGTATATGGAGATTAAAAAAATTGCGCAACAAACTTATTGAAGTCCTTTATTTGTCCCACAATGGAGGAATCCAGTGTGAGTTTTTGCAGTCCACACAAACTGCCACTGGAGGCACTATTATGTATGTGGTTGCAACTCACGGGCTGCCAGAATGGATGAAGTATGTTCTTCTGGGGCTTCAACCCAGGGCCTTCTGCATGTAAGGGAGGTGTGGTAAGCACTACACATTTGAACCACATAAAAATTAAATTTCATTAATCCCACTTTGAGGAAATTGATAACAGCATATTTGCTGCAACAGGAGGCACCGGGTACTATATGTGGTTCCTCTGAGATCATATTTAATGAATGCCTTTTCCAAAAAAAACAGACCTCTTAATTTTTGCACAAGCGGAATATGGCATTTAGTCAACAACTGCAGGTGTGTCATTTTAAGAGGAAATCATTCTGACCATTATGCAGAAGAAGCTTTATTTACGGATGCAGAACAAAGCAGCCAGCCAGGGGGCAGGGGGATCACATGTACAATTTAGGTGTTCGATACATACAGTTGTTCTCTGGAACTGTATCATTTATATGAACTATTTGAAAATGAAATCCTTTAGACAATATTTTTTGAAATAGCCCTTAACAATGTGCACTTGTTTTTTTGTAGGTTGCCCAAAAATAACGAATGATATATCAAATGCACATATTTTAAGTTTAAGTTAGGATATGCAATTTGACAAGATATGTTTTAGATCATTAGCATTATAGAGCAAACACAAAATAATCTGTTGTGTTTAGTAGTTGACTTAGTACTGACTCAAACGATATTTTTCAATGTATTTATTTGCGTAATCCATGTCATTTTATAAATCCAAACAGAATGTGGAATCAGGATGTTGGCATTATCGTCTTATCCATTGTTCACTAAAACTGAATAAAAAAAAATATATAGAAAAAGCATTTATAATATTTTTAGGACACATTGATGCAAATTAAAGGGACGTTAGCAAGAAATTAAAGAGACAAGTTCATTGTGACATTCTGCAGATGAGGCTGACACAAGGTCTCAGTTGAACTTGGCTTTAGAGAAATCCATCTCAGGATGCTGAGACATGAACCTGCAGAAACAAAGGACAACAATCATTTACCTATTTCTTACAGCACCAACTGGGATAACGCCCCTTCAAGGACTTCCACTAGTAAGACACTGTTTTTGTAGCTTACATATTTTACAACTATGCTACTATCAGGCACGCAAAAAACGTCAGTTGAAGCAAGAATAAAAATTCCTTACAAACTGTGTTCAATTAAGCAGGGACATATCACTGAAAACTTACTTTTTAAGAATATCTTGTTTCTTCTGCTCATCAGATGTAGGAAGGCCCATTGATTTCTGTCTTTGGTCAAACATCATCTTTTCTACCATACCACGTGTGTCTCCATCCAGATCTGACAGCTGCTTGGCAGACAAAACATAAAAAGTACCAAAGAAACAGATTTATATAAACAGTCACAGTAATAGTTGATACAGATAATGAATATATAACGGTCGCTCTCCTATCACGGCTACAATGTGAGCCAATCAACGTGAGGAACAGAAGAGCATGTTCAATGCTGTGTTCCATCTCCTCTAGGTAAACAAAGCTACCAGCGATGTCTTAGTTTATTTTTTGCTATATTTTAATTTTTTAAGGTTAGAAAATGTTTTTATCACAAAAAATGAACATATTGTAAATTAAAAAAAAATCTGTGATGTATTGAGGGAGCAACCACTGTACTTTAAGTTTCTAAGATCAAACAATCCATGTGGTCAAGGAAAAACCTGGATTGTCTGAATAAAACAAACTTGGAAGTATTGTTAGATTTCAATGGTTTTCACATTTGGTTGGGTCTGCAGCAGGAAGCTGATAAGACACCAAAAGGCTTTCCCGAGCACACACAGTCACATAGCCCCACACATTCAAAGAGAATTTCCTCCCAATTCTCTTCACACCAACTTTCCAAATAACTCTAAAACACCTCTACTCCCTGGAAACAATGGGAAACCTTCCAATTCACATTCTCACAGGGAACCCTGATCCACCTTTTGATCTACATGACCACCTGTGGTTGACTAGACTTTATGGCTCCGTCCACCTCCCTTGTGATAACACCCTGCTCAGCAACAAAAGGTTCATAAACATGTCCTCCAACACTGCAGAATCATTGAGCAGCAGCGCCACATAGTGGCGACTGCAGACATAACCATTATACAAGAACAATAATATGACTGTCCACAAGAGGGCTAGCCTCTCTTCCATTGGCCTACAACATTTAAACACACACCCGGGAAGTTGAAAACCACTCCCCTCACACAGGTATATAAGCGTAAAAAACTACTGATACTTTGGCCAATTATTGCTTTGGAAGTTATTCTTGAGAATTTATTCTTGAGGGGATTTGCATATTAACAACTGATGTATGAGATTTCCTTGAATACTTCTCTAGTGGTTCTATTTTCTTGTTGGACCTGTTTTGTTTGACGCTTTATTAAAACGAATTGACCATCTACCAGCTGCTTCCATTCCTTGCCTGAAGACACCTCGCACAGCAAGAATCTTTCAACTAGTGCTGTGACACGGATCAAAATATAGCAAGAATCTTTCAGTATACATAGTAATGAAGTATATAAGACTTTACCTTGGAGTTCTCTGGAGAGATCTTCTTGGTGTTAATTTCTGGATCTGTACTTACAATCTTGCTCCACCACTCCATCTTATTGATCTGATGTCAAAAAAGAAGAAAACAAACAATTACGAAAATCCCTATAGCATTCCCCTTGTTTACCTCTATTTTCTAAACAACTGATCAACATTGATGGACATCTCAGATTCACCCAATAGAGGTATTCTTTGGTACTACTGAACCCCCAACCTTAACCGACCATGATTGCAGCGCTCCATAAGACCTCCAGCATATACCAAATTTGAAAGAACCTGGACCAGATGGCTCCCCAACCATCATCTATTTTACCAACATCTATGGCCAATTATTGCACACGCTCTTCTCAAAATGCCGATAGGAAATAGAAATAAACACATTCAATTGGCATCTTCTAGCTACGCTAACCTGCTATCTAACCCCACACTGTCATCTAGCTACTAAACACTGAAAATTCTTAGCCGAAACAAAACCGAAAATGAGGAAACCAAAGCAGAAAACAGAAAAGAAATTATTATCCCAATTGTTGGTACCATTATTGGTGCATTTATGGCTATGACTGTACTAAACCTCAATAAAATCAAGTCACTGCAACTGTATAAATGAATAATTAATAATCGTCAAAATAATTAATTGTCAAATGTCTAGAAGAGAAATAGAATTGACTGATTATCACATAGAAAGTCAGAAGAGAACAGCCTACCTACTATTATTATTATAAGGAAATCTCTTGCAGGATCTCACAAAACATACAGACAACGAGGGTGCCTGCCCCTCATCTGGCACACTGCTCTGTGAGCTTCTCCGCCTCCAAGCAGGTTTTCTGTGTCCATTGTGGTCCGGATCATTTCTCGCGTGCAGTGTTTTATTCCAATTAATGATCTTTATAACACAGATCAAGTACAGTTGCAACTAGTGCAGTGGATCCGAACAGATCTCAGTGAAACGTGTGTTGACTATGAGTGTACTTTTCACCCCTTCTTGCAATTCCATTATTGCACGTTTTGCAAATCGATATCCGTGGGTCTTTCTCAGATATATTGAAATACGTCCACACTGCAGACATGTTGGTACTTATTGAAACCCAATTTAACATTAAACGCTAAGCTGGATATGTATTGCAGATATCTCTAACGCAGTTTTGCTTAGTGAAAAAGAAAATTTCGGATATCCGACAAGCCCACTCTGGCCACGGTTTTTGCTTGCGTCATCACAACTTTCTGTTTTGTTGTCGTGTTGTTTCTGTAATAAAAGTATTTTGGCCAAAAACTGAAAATGAACTTTTGGGCCAATTCCAGCCAAAAATTCGCATCCCTAATCAACTTATTTATCTCTGCAGGCTGCAGGCCCGTGATGGCATCTCACCTAGGACCTCAAGACCTGCGCCAACCACCTGTTTACTATACTGGGACATTGGTACAACATGAGTTAGGAAAGGGTCCCAGTGCTGTGGAAGATATCCTGCCTGGCCCCTGTACCCAAGAAGTCGAGGTCATCCCGGCAAACTGTAAACCCGTCCTCCTTAAATGTCATGCGATGAAGGTTGTGGAGAGTCTGGTTTCAGCCCAGTTGACACTACAGGTAAGGAAATTTCTTGACCCTTAACAATTTACCTATCAGCTCCATTTAGGAGTTGACGATGCTGTCATGCAACTGCTGCAATGAGTCCGTTGGGGGGGTGAGATGCCGGGGTGCGCCAGGGGCTTCTAATGGAATATGGCTCGCTGGAGATAAGCACTGCTGTAATGCTTGAATGATAACAAGCCTCCAGTCACTAAGTGGCACCAATTCATGCAGCGGTTTGGACAGATAAAAAATGTTATCAGGTTCTCAAAAGTATTTAAATTTGTGAAGGTGTGGGTTGGAGGGGTGCGTGAAAACATTTCTGTCCCCATGGGGGAGGGAGGGCATGACAGAAATTCATGAACTCATTCTTATTCTCCTGTATGCACTTTACACGGTTGTATGCACACTACTTACTGACCATTAATTTGTTTTCAACTAGGCCACACTTTTTTTTTTTAAACTTTGATAGCCGATTAAATCCTTCCTTACCTTTTCCAAATGTACGGTGACTATTTTGCCATCCTCTATAAGCCAGGAGCTTTCTTCTACTTTCACCTCATTGTAAAGCTGGCCATCAATAACAGGTGGGTGACCTTTGAGGCCAACTTTGATGCTGCGCCTCTGAATGTCAACTACCAAATCTCTCCCCTTAATGTGAAACTTCACATTAAAAGGCACTGACAGCTGTAGGGGATGGAAAAAAAAGACTGTTCAGTATGAGTATGTAACACACATAAGGTCTATCTCTTTTGTAACTTCAGGACATGAGTGAAAATATGATTTGATTATTATATTGTCCCTTTGTCAAAAACAACAAAGAGAAAATTTTGTAAGATTATTGCACAATAATAACTTATTTTGGATAACTTTATGGTGATAAGAAAACAATTTAGTCACAAAACAAAAGTGGTGTGTCATTATTATTTGAACCTTTTTTTTTAAATCTAAGTTTCGCAGGACAGCATCGATCAAAAGTAATTGGTCAATAAAATCTGGGTTTATATTCCAAATCTAAAAGTTTACCAAAGTGGGACACCCATAAAAAGGTTGGGCAAAATCTAACTTTCTAAGATATGGTTCGGTTGTAGTTATTCGATTTTCAAGGCTTGATATTGCTTGTACAAGGCAGAAATGTGAAATGTATTACTCAATATGGTGTATCCAGTAGAATTTCAATTAAATGAATCATTCCTGTCATGTCTTTAACTCGTTTAGGTAGGTTAGTGAACACAAACGTATGACTGTATCAAACTGGAAAAATCAAGCCTTGAGGTGATGTTTGTTTTTGTTAGTGAGCTGTGAGACTTCCTTTTAAAGCCTATATATTTCTATGATTTATTTGCTCTTCTGTTGGATTAAACACATTTCGGAAAATGAATATCTAAAAATCAGTGTTAACTTGATATATTACAATAAGTCACCAATGTAACTCGGCATGAAAATCAATAAGAATTTAACATTTCAGATTGTATTAATGATAAAACTCAATTACTCATCAATTCTCATCGATTACCATTGTTTTACGAAAATATATTTAGTGGAAATAATATGCAGATTCCATTTAACAAAACCAACTATTTGAATAGGTCTTGGTCTTTGCTTACCTGTGGAAGTGTAACTAATTTTTTTTACAAGGCACACTGTACGCACCATTTAAAATTCACACAAACCACTTGTTGAGTCCCTCTATCTTTACAATACTGAAGAAATCTGAACTTGTGTGCCATACCGGACTTGTGTGTCCTTGTTGAGCAGCCCGTGATTAACTGTATTTTTTTTGGTTAAACCAGCAATAAATGGTGATTGATTTACAAATTGGACTGTTTAATCACAACGTAGAGGACAAGCTGCTACAAATGCAGGCTGGTGAAGCACATTTACATTTACACACTGATGAATTCACCATATTTAAGACAGAGATATTTAAATGCCACCCCAACACCATCCCTATACACAGTAGATCGACTGTCAATTTAGGACCACGTGTGAGATGTAGTCAGGCAAATGTGTCTAAAGAAGCAGTTAGCGGAATTGTTTAGCAACAAAATGATAATTCCAAGGAACTGGACTGTTGGGAAATGGTTCTCTACAAGGGTTGTTGATTCCCATTCCTTACTGCAATAATTGTCACAGTCATGTTAAAATGTTCCAAGCTCTTTCCTCATGAACACAATATGTTACATCAGTTTAAAATGAACTTACATCAACTTCAGACAGTGTCTGTGTCCACTTGTAGTTGGACAGGTCAGCTCCATTTCCTGCATTTGGTTTCAGTTTGCCTTTGTCATTTTCATTGTCTTCTTCCTCAGAGTCTGACTGTTGAAACAAAATGTAGAACAGACAAGTTGATCTTGAGAGTGACATTCAGCATCTACATGGTGAAACTGTCTCCTGGCCACTTACCTTTTCTGACTTTGATGCATTAGTTTTGCACTCCATTTGTTTCTGTTCCATCTTTTTCTAAAACACATAGGATAAAATGAACGCACGTGGATAAGATAACCATGTGAATAAATTGGAAAGCATCCAACAACGTTTTCACCTGGATAATTTCAGACTGAAGTTTCACTGCCTCTTCATCAGTCAGTTCTTGAATTCTAGGACTTTCATAATTCTTTTTCTTCGTCTCTTCCTCTGCTAGTTTAACTTCTCGTTCTGTTTTGTGTTTCTTTTCCTGCTCCTGTTGCAACTGCCGCTCTTTGTGGGTCTTCATTGCCAGATTTTGGTGGTGGGCAAAAGCATCCTTCACCAACTGAAAAGACATTCAAACAGTAAATATTAAGAATAATGTGGTTTTTGCTGTAGAGTGAACAACTAATTACAATTAGGGATCTTCGGGATTAACGTTTTGCCATTATCCGATATGCCGATATTGTACTTAATGTCCGATATTAACCAATATCGATATACTCTAGAGCCGTATGCAGCACACCAATGACCACATTTCACTGTGTGCGTGTGTATATATATACACACACGTATACATATATATACACACACACAAGTATACATACATACATATATATATATATATATATATATATACACATATATATACACACACACACACATATATATATATATATATTCTCCCAGATCTGTATAAGGGCTCTGGTTGCACCTAAAACTTAATGTTCCAGAGGTTCTTTTGGGTTTAAGTCAGGTGACCATGAAGTCCATTCAATTATATCAATTCATTCATCCTCCAGATACTGCCTGCATACTCTTGAACTCTCAGCCACATGAGGCTGGGCATTGTTGTGCATCAGGAAGAACTCAGGACCTACTGCACCAGCATAGGGTTCTGACAATGGGTCAGACTACCATTTTCTAGCTGGTAGAGGTCTATGCGTCCCTTCATGGATATGCCTCCCAAGACCATCACTTACCCACCACCAAACCTGTCATGCTGAACAATGTTGCAGTCAGAATAGCATTTTCCTTGTAATCTGCAAACTCTTTCATTCCAGTCACAGGTGCTCAAAGTGAACCTGCTTTCATCTGTGAACAATACAGGGCACCAGTGGTGGACATGCCAATTCCGGTGTTTTCTTGCAAATGCCAATCGAGCTCCACAGTGCGGTGAACATAGGGCCCACTATAGGATGTGGTCCTCTGGCCATCCTCATGAAGTCTATTTCTGATTGTTTGGGCAGAGACATTCACACCGGTGGCCTCCTGGAGGTCATTCTGGCACGGGTAGTGCTCAAACTGTTCCTCCTAGCACAAAGGAGCGGATATCGGTCCTGCTACTGGGTTGAGGACCTTTTACGACCCTGTTCAGCTCTCCTAGAGTAAAGTAGTGCCATCCTGGAGGAGTTTGACAACCTGTGCAACTGCTGTAGGGTTAAGGAATCACCTCATACTGCCTGTAGTAATAATGACACACCTATCCAACAAACCATCAGTTTTTGAGATTTTGAGACAAAATACCAGTATTTTTCAGCAGCTAGTTCAAACAGAAGAAGAGTCTGGATAATGTCAAACGTCTTTAAGAAACCTTAGCAGGTCCACGTGTCAACCTCTGAACTTCTTGTGACACATAATATATTATTTTACTGAAGGACCAACATCACAATGCTTGGCTCTACTGAATAGTTCTGCTTTGTTTTAAAGACTTCTGTTCAGTGATGCTGTATTGCTGCATGTGCTTAAAATTGCAGGCTAGGAAATCAAGCGTTTACAACTGAATTCAGATATCTTACTCACTCTTTCTGGAGCACCCAAATCTCCTCCTGTGAAGAAATCCGTTTTGCGGCGCAGGAAGCTGAAAAATGTATTAACTAACTGTAGAAACAAATAAAAATAAAGTACAGTTACAGTGTGTAAAAATTTCTAAACGGCATGTTACATCTCTTACTATACTAAAACGCATGGCCTTACAGGTCGAAACCTCGAGTAGTGATCATATGTATATAAAAATACACATATATACCCACATAGTATATTATGTGTGAAAAAATTGTATGGTTGTTGGATATGGTTGTTATTTCACCGTTACAGCAACTTCAATAAGCGAAACATGACCACATTTCGGCATAAAGAATACCAGAAAGGTAATACTTTAGCCACCGTTTAAAATTGGGATGAAACGTTACTAGCTTAATGGCTAACTAATATAGCTGCTGCAAACAACCGGTACGATTAGAAGTTAATAGCAACTATGGAAATACCTCCTGTACTCCGCCTTCATGTTGTTGCGCTATAACTAGCAACATTCCGTCATATTTTTCTTCGTTGTCCCCCATGTTTTGGACTCAGAACATTAACAATACAACGTTCGCCGTTAGAACCACAAGACTTTCAAAACGTTGTCGACCATGTGATGGCCTAGGTTACTGCTGTTAACTGGTAGCAAACACAGCAATGCCTTCTGTGGACCAAATGGTGTTCTTGAGTTTTAACGACAGCCCTATTGACCAATAAAAACAGCGCTTTGTTTGACGTACACCGAAATTAGCCAGTACACACCGCAGGTTTTTAAAACAGAAAGTGACGTATCAGCGGTTTTCGTGAAGTAGCAATATGTTAGGGTGTCCGCCACCTTGAAAGGTACACGCTAGTGATTGGAAGACCGACTCTTTTTATTGATTCGGATCTTTGACTCTCGAACAGTAAAATGAACGAGTCGTGAACGAATCTTGAACGAATAATTTCATTCATTCACAGCAGGTGGCGCTTTAGCCCTATTGTAGGCGTTGTAAAGAAGGCTGCAGTTCTCCGACATTAAATACTGAAGGCAACATGGTTTGCTTCCGCTGACAGTCTACAAAGTACACAGAATGCCATAAGCAATTAAACCATGTGAAAATATAAGAAAGAAAAACATACCACAATGTGAAGATGAATGAGAGCAAAAGAGACTCGAACTCTCTGTCACGTGACAAATGAAACGAATCTGGGAAAGCGAAAGATTAGTTAACAGGGAGTGATTCGTTCATAGCGAAAGATTAGTTCACACTGGAAACTAATCTTTTACTGTGAACTTCACGGTGAAAGATTAGTTCACAGAGAGAATCGTTCCCAGCGAAAGATTAGTTCACAGGGGGATTCGTTCATAGTGAAAGATTAGTTCACAGCAAAAGATTAGTTTACAATGAAAGATTAGTTCACAGCGAAAGATTAGTTCACGGAGAGTGGTTCGTATGCAATGAAAGAGTAGTTCACAGTGAAAGATTAGTTCGCAGAGAGTAGTGATGTGTCGTTCGCGAGTGACTCCCGGGTCATATGAAAGATTCGTGACTCGTGACTACCGAGTCATATTAAATATTTATTCATATTGAACTCACGAATCACTCACAAATCACTCACTGCGAACAAATCACTCTCTGCGAACTAATCTTTCATTGTTAAGTAATCTTTCACTACGAACGAATTACTCTCTGCAAACTAAACTTTCACTGGAAACTAATCTTTCACTACGATCTAATTACTCTGCAAACTAATATTTCACTATGAACTAATCTATCATTGCAAACGAATCACTCTCTATGAACTAATCTTTCACTGTGAACTAATCTTTCATTGCAAACGAATCATTCTCTGTGAACTAATCTTTCGCCGTGAACTAATCTTTCGCTGTGAACGAATCATTCTCTGTGAACTAATCTTTCGCCGTGAACTAATCTTTCGCTGTGAACGAATCATTCTCTGTGAACTAATCTTTCGCCGTGAACTAATCTTTTGCTGTGATCTAAAATTTCGATGTGAACGAATTATTCTCTGTGAACAAATATTTCGCCGTAAACCAATCTTTTGCTGTGAACTAATCACTACTCTAAACGGATCATTCTCTGTGAACTAATCTTTCGCCTCGTTCTCGCAGATTCGTTTCATTTGTCACGTGAAAGAGCTCGGGTCTTTTTTGCTCTCATTCATCTTCACATTGTGGTGTGTTTTTATTTCTTAGCTTTTCACATGGTTTTAATTCCTTATGGCATTTTGTGTACTTTGTAGACTTTGTCAGCGGAAGCAAACCATGTTGCCTTATTTAGTGTCGGAGAACCGCAGCCTTCTTTACAACGCCCACAATAGGGCTAAAGCGCCACCTGCTGTAAAACAAATGAAATTATTAGTTCAAGATTCGTTCACGACTCGTTCATTTTACTGTTCGAGAGTCAAAGATTTGAATCAATAAAAAGAGTCGGTCTTCCAATCACTACCAGAGAGTGATTTGTGAGTGATTCGTGAGTTCAATATGAACAAATCTTTCATATGACTCGTGACTCCTGAATCACATGAACGATTCGTGACTCGTGATTCCCGAGTCATATGATAGATTTGTTCATATTGAACGAATCACTCGCGAACGACACATCACTAGTACACGCTGTAATATTTACAGTGAGATGGTATTGCTTTCATAGTTAAATTTGTCCACTCAAGGACAAAGGGACAAAGTCATCATATTTTCAGGCAAGTATGTATGTATTTACATGTATGGTATGTAAATAATTGCTTGGATAATGATCAGGATATAAACAATAATAATAATAATATGCATACATATTGTATATTTACATTTCAAAAACCGATGTTATGTTTCTTGGTCAAGAGAGGTTTTCTTGGTGTGTGGTAAACTCTCATCCCAACATTTGTGGTTTCAAACTGTTTATATTTACTGTCTATATTAACAATTTATGCAAGATATTAAACACTGATAATACAATTATTTTCGTGATAACTACATAACCAACAAAAGTAAAAGTTTGGCTAATCGAAATTAATTATTGTTAAACTTGAACAAAACAACGACAATGACAATAGATGACAAGATTAGTTTGAATTCACATAAAAAACTGTCAAGAGGCAAATTAATTTAAATTAATATTAATATTCCATCCATCCATCCATCCATTTTCATCCGCTTATCTGTTACCAGGTAGCGGGGGCAGCAGTCGCCACCCAAATCACACTGCACCGTACCAACCTTCCGAACCTTCCTGCGGGTGGTGAGTCCACTGGAAGGTACCAACCGCCCTAACTGGGATTTGAAGTTTCCAAGGTGAACCCTGGAGTTCCACACCAATGACAGAGACATTGCCTCTGGACCAAAGCACCACTTAATATTAATATTAATTTAATTAATTTAAATTAAATTAAGCACATTTTATTTATCCTTTTGTTTCGTTTGTATTCTTTTGTTATTTATTCTTGTGTGTGTAGGGATAATGCCTTCAGTTTACGGATATTGAAGAAAGGAAAAGAAGGAAGGTGAACTTGTCATTTTATGAGCATGGCAACAGTAAATAAAAGCTCTGCTAGCCTCACACAATGTTCCCCACCACGTCACAAGGTGCAAAAACCCTTACTAAAGCTAAAAGGAGCTAGAAGTCCTGGCAGCATTTCTTACCTAGCAATCATGCTAGGTAAAAAAGTGCTGAGACACAACACTGCCCCTCTCCCCAGGGTGACAGGGTTGGGAGATGTATATATCTACAGTAACATTTCAGATGACCTCCAAAAACACAAATTTTATTAATATATTTTGATATTCAGGTGATTGTATGCACAATAATTGTGCCAGCAACTTATACATATACAGATGAATAAATGCACATTTTTAGGTTCTTTGGTGAAGGTCGCATCGGGAGGGCCATCTGGTGTAAATGACCTTCCATATCGGATCAGTTGTGAGAGAACAGTAGCGAATGTTGAAGCGTTCCTGTTTCTGTTTACCTCTGCTGCAGACAAGCACAAAGTAAAGGGAGTTAGCCCCGGAGCTAATGTAAGCTTTGGCCCAGAGCAGGTCATTAAGCTACTGTTCTCTCACAACTGATCCGATATGGAAGGTCATTTACACCAGATGGCCCTCCCGATGCGACCTTCACCAAAGAACCTAAAAATGTGCATTTATTCATCTGTATATGTATAAGTTGCTGGCACAATTATTGTGCATACAATCACCTGAATATCAAAATATATTAATAAAATTTGTAGTCTGGAAATTACTATAGCTCTCAGTTTCAAAAAGGTTGGTGAGAGCGAGAGAAATTGAATTCAAATTTCATAAAGAGTGTTGTGGATGTTAATACAGTTAAGTGAGTCATGATCGTGAAGGTAGAAGTTGAGGGTGTGATTCTGAACATAGCCTGTGCCTACACATCGCAAGTAGGATACCAGTAAGACCAGATTTAACACAATCCTGGAGAATGAGAGGATGCCCAATGAATATATACTGGTAACAGTGTTCAAGAACAAGGGAAATGTGCACAGTTGTAGTAATTAGAGGCTTTGTTGAACTGCCATCTAATACACAGTCAACCTTACAGTTGGCAATGGTATAATAATAACATGAATAAGACAAAAAAAGTATACAAAAAACCCCTCAATGACATTAACCTTTCATTGTTTATTTTGGACAAAATAGATTTAATCATTTATTTTTTCATGACATATAAACAGACATTGTAAATTGAGTAAAAACTGTTTTTGTTTATACATTTCATTTCTAAATATAGTTTCAGTAAGTTGCACAGTGTTTTTTTTATTACGTTGTACTGTGAAGCTTTGTGGTCAATTTCCATCATCCAAAGTTATGAAGCTTCTTGACCGTGTTTTAAATTGAATGGTGCTGAGCTGTCCCTTTTTTCTTTGATTTATGATTATTTTGTTAATTAAGGTATTTTATCTTAATAAGAAATAACATATAACTCTTTTATTTTCTTTAATTTTAAATCACCAACACTATTAAGTTATTGATTTTTGTTTAAAAAAAGTGAATTTTACATTTTTTATGCCATATAGTTTATTTATGTAAAACCAAGTTAGTATTTTTAAACTGTCAACAGCTTTTCTTTTTTTATTATTTAAAAAAAAAGAGAATTAATGATTCAGTTAAATATTTTTGTATTTCAAACATTTAATGATTATATGTTCAGGTAAATGTGACTCAGTGTCTGCAAAACATTTGTCTGCCACACCTCCAGAGAGAAGTTTGTAGATTTGTGATGTTTTTGACGTCTATATTCACCAACAATGTCACAAATATTGTACTAAAATAATTATTTCTGTCTGGTGTTGACAACTAAAAGGGCTTAGTGCAGGCATGGGCAAACAAAGGCACAGGGGCAGGCTGCAGCCCGTTCAGTTTTTTAATCCTGCCCGCCAAACTTGTCAAAATTATATATAATTTATTTATATTATTATTATACTTCTGCCTTTTCCCTGCAATACCAACGTTTCTCCAATAGATGGCGTAAACAATGATAATTGATGATTTTAGCCTTTACGCATGACTTTTACATGTCAATTATCTTAGTTCACACAAACGCTCCATCTATCTGCTCCTGACCTGGTCCACCTGTTCAATTTTAGGACCATTGTGGCCAGCGAGTCAAAATGTTTGCCCATGCCTAGCTTAGTGTATTTCTCAAGTTCTATGCGTTGTCTTCATGGGCCACTTCATCATCACATCTACCAAAAGAACCAGCTACTGTAACAAAGCCATCCATCCAGTCTAAAAACTATAGGAATCTGTACACCCGCCATCCCCTAAATGTTTTATAAACAATGTTGAAATCAGCAAATTCAGATAAATATTCACACCACCTTGCCTTTTCTTGTAGTTTGTCAGTCAGAAGAAAAAAAAACTTTACATCTTGAAAAATACATTTTAGAAATACTTTACAAATGAAACCTTTCAGCATTAAAATTATTGTTCTTTAAATTTATATAGTGAATTGTACAATTTCAGCAGTTTTGAGACTATTATACAAATACCTGTATATAATTAGATTATCCAAGTCACATTTAAGTGTTTAAATTATCACCTCAGAAACAGACCAGATATGTAGTTGCAAGTGCCCCGTGTTTGATCAGTACCGATACAGCAGGTATAGAACAGTGCTCACAAATGGTAAATATATAGCTCAACCTCTTTGTTGTGTTTGTACATTTTCCATACAGGATTTTAATGGTACTTCTAAATGTGTTCTACTATTTTTGTGACGGTAGTCCTCTAGTGACACTCCTTTTTCCACATGTAAGGCAGGATTTTTCCTAAGCCACTTTTTGGAGGATTCCAATGCAGAATTGATGTTCCGTATGACTACCAGTTACAAAAGTACAGACCACGTTTAAAAAGGACAGAGAAAAAAAAATACAACAGAAAATACCCAATGAATGATTCAGAGCAATGCCAATTAAAAGACTGCCAGAAAATACTGTTAGCATGCTACACCTAGCAGCGGAATCTAAAAAAAAATCATCGTTAGATTGTTACAAGGTCAAGCCTATATGTAGCCTGCTGTTTAAAGGAAACTCTCCACAGCATCTCAGTACTAAGTGAGATATAGCAGAAAATGCATGGATATACTGTTCAACCCAGAAAAGACAAATCACTGACTGATAAAACAATCAAACAATTGTAAAAAATAAACAAAGGTAGCATCACAACGTTCCATATTCTGTCAAGTCTAATTCTTCAGCAGAGGATGGAAGAGATCCTTAGTATTTCGTTTTGGCCCCAGGCAACAAACACCTACTCTTATCAGAAATTACACAGTCCGAGCGCCAAACACTTTGGCTTTGGTTACAGTTCATCAGCTGACGCAACCTTACAGGCAGTTACAGAAAGCTGGCAGCAAGCATAAGTTGCTTGAGCAGTACCTCCTTCTGATGTCTGGAAAATTAAGGCCGATGGAACCTGGAGGTAGGAGTAGGACATTTTAAAAAGGTTATTAGTGATTCTTAATAAAACAAACAAACAAATTTTGTTTGTTATACTGAAAATGTTGATGAAAAATGTGGAGTAAATTGATGTGGTGAGGTGCTCAAATCTGACCGAGTATAAATCCTGCTTTCTTCGTGGACCTCCATCTCAGAACTCTTGAATTCATTCAATTCTTTGCGGATGGCAGCCTGACAGATAAAGAGGAGTTCAGCAGTTGTTATTCATTTCAGAAAGTCCATTTCTGTCCATTTACACACACAAGGCTATATATACATACATTATATACACATATGTACACTAGTGCTGGGCAACAATCAAAGAGTTTAATCAGGATAAATCACATGACTTCTTGCAATTTATTTCAATGTTGCAAAATCCAACAATAAATTTATTAGTGTTTGGCACACTTATATTTACGTATACACACATACACACACACACACACACACACACACACACACACACACATACATACATAGAGTATATATCAAGGGCTGTCAGGGGTTGCAAAGCTTTTGTGGTATATATATATACACATGTACATATGACTGAGTGGCTAGTCCATAATGAGTGGCAGTCAGGTACCATCAGAAACTTCAGAATCATAAAAAAGGGGTGTACTCACATATGATATATGCTATATTATCATTGCATTAGTGGTTGAGTCTCAAAATACTTTTACACAGGTAAAGCATTCCATTGACCAGCTACAGAGCAATGAATGAAGTGTTCTGAGACAAAACTATTTTTGAGCAGATGGACCAACTTGTTCTGGGGGCCTTTTTTTTTTTTTGTTTTTTTTTTGTTTGTTGTCCAGGGCGCAGCCCAAGTACTCCTCTTTGTTTTTGGGGATAGGTTTTTACCTACTTGATTAGTGAAGCCAGGAGATTTTTTTGTATTTGCAACCAAACCAAATTAGTATAACGGAATAATCAGTTTATTATTGCATAATATTATTATTATTGGATACTTTATCCCTTTCTGTACTGAAGGCCATTTTCATCCTGAGAACACGAAGGCTGAGTCATACTGACAAACGAAATATTATAGAAAAATTATGATTTCATGTTTAATTTTCAAAATAAAATGGGCAGTGGTGGCTTAGTGGTTAAGGATGGAAAGTGAACTACTTGTCATTGTGACACAGCACACCACTGCACACAATGTGAACAGTGGGCAGCTTTAGAACAGTGGGCAGCTTTAGACGCCCGGGGAGCAATGTGTGGGGACAGTGCCATGATCAGAGCACCTCTGTGGTAACTTGGCAGCTGGTGGACTCAAACCTGAAGCCTTCCGGACCAAAGTCTGCTTCCTTAACCACTAAGACACCACTGCCCGGACTTGGGTCCGGAAGGCTTCAGGTTCAAGTCCACCAGCTGCCAAGTTGCCACAGAGCATGGCACCGTCCCCACTCACTGCTCCCCGGCCGCTTAAAGCTGCCCCCTGGTCACTTTGGTTTCACTTTCAAAATGCTTCCCTGTAGGACCCTACAGCTCACTGTTCCCCACCAGATGTAGAAGTGGATCTATTCACATTATGAGCAAAAAGATTTTGCTCATAATGCCCCTAGTGCCTAGAAGTTTAGGCAGATTTCTTTTGGAAATGTTCTAAAATATTCTGAACATGAATACAAGACTTATCATTCCACAAGTGAAAAATGTGTGAAAGTGACCCCTTAAAACAATGCGTGCTATGCTTGATGTTTGAGGTCATGTAAAAACCTTGTCAGCAGGCGTGAGCTTGGTCCACGGTTTGTCTGCACGTCTGTCATAGTCTTGTGCATGTGTGGACTCCACATATTCATGGAAACGCAGAATTTTCCTCGCCTGGAGTTCAGCCACTGTGGGCCTCTGTGACAACTGATGGCAGAAGAAAAAAAAAGTGTTGACACTATGCATTCACAAAAGGAATACACTTGAACTAACATTGATAAAATGTACTGACCTTTCTGGTGAGCCTTCGTTTAATCTCACATCTCTCTAACCTTCTATCTGCTTCATTCTTGGCTGGAGGAGAAAGTCACATCCCTTTAGAGTGTGGGCAATACAAATATCTACATACATAAACACACAAACTAACAAACACAGACACACGCACGCACAGGGATGCACCGAATATTCGGCCTCTGCAAATTTTCTGCAAGACTTTTATCACTTGCTTGGAGCTTGTCTGAAAGCTCCAACATGTCTACGGTGTGGACGCATTTCAATATATCTGAGAAAGACCCATGGATAGCGATTGGCAAATCATGTAATGCTAAAAGAGGGCATGCATCTGCAAAGAATTTCTCCACGTTGGGTTTAATTTATCACCTGAAATCCAAACATCCTGATTACTATGCTGAATATGAGAGGAAGGAAAGCCTCTTTGCGCTACAGCGAGTCTTGGTTGCATACAGCGCAGACCACGTGCTCCCCACGACACTCACTTCACACCTGTGGGTCTTAATAGGGAATATTCTCTCTCTCTTCTCTATTCCCCGTTTGCGCAGCTAACTAAAGAGATCAGCTTCTTTGATGAATGTGTAGCAGATGAATTTTTTTTTATACTGTGCATTGTTGGAATGTGCTGAATAAATATTTTCATAATTTTGTAATTGTTTTATTCTTTGAAACATTTATATTAATTTATGCAATTGCAGTGCCTTGATTTTACTGGGGTTAAGTACACAGTCACAGCCAAATATAGTTACATCAAGGGCAATTGGACAGAATGGGTTTCTTGAATCGAACATTTTACCTCTCATTCAAGAGGCTCCTTCAGTTCTTGGATGAGAGGTGAAACGTCTTTCAGAAACCCATTCTGTCAAGAGACCCATTCCGTCCAGTTGCCCTTGATGTAACTATTCTTTGGATAAGATGACCTGGATGACTGAGAACCTACACAAACATACACAGTCATAACCATAATTTCAATGGTACCAATAATTGGCATAATCATTTCTTTCAGTGTTTCGGTTTTCAGCCTTAGTTTCCTTGGTTTTGGCTAATAATTTGAATTTAATTTCAGTGCATTCCAAATATACAATATACAGTATATATACAGTTTATACATACAGTATACAGAGTACACCTGTAACCATGTTTTGTGTGTCAGGTGATCCACTTTGGCCTAAATAAAAAGTCCCTAATGTTTTTTTAACATTACAATTAACAGTTAACATGGACGGGTCTCGTACTATGAACAGAAGAAATAACACATCCCCAGCGGCAGGCACGATGGGCAGGCAGGTAAGGAGACCCTAGGCGATCCATCATTCAAGCCACGTTGATGTGCTTGTGTTGCAAGACACGCAAATCATATAAAAACAAAATCTGTGACTGAAACTGTGGCAGAGCAGGACTGTCATTATGATTAGGTTTGCAAGCTCATGCCGTGTATTTTTCCCTACTACCGTAAACACAATTGACTCAAGCAGACTTGAATAAAAAAACATAGGGAGGTGAATGGTTATGATGTACCTGGAAGAATGTTCCTCTGCTCCAGCTCTTCTGCTGTTGGTCTCTGACTCAGCCGCCTATAAATGGATAACACTGTTATTTAAGGACTCCTGAAGATTTGTGGAAGGCATTGTGACAGCACAGCTTTACCTTGTCAGTGTATGGCCAATCTTGTTCCTCACTGTCAACCACTGCTCTTTACTGTGCCAGCTCATGCTCTCGTCATTCTCTTGTGCGCTTCTTTCTGCCTTTTCTTGGTTCTCAGTCTTAAGGGCTAACGTGTCCTTCCTCTTCACACGGCTCGCCAGACTACCTAGTATACAAATAGACATTAAGTTTGGGGTCTTTTAGGGTTTTGCACTGCACACTGCATGCTTTATGTGCAGTAAATAAATACACTAAATACTACATTTATACATGACATGGTATAAGCAAGCAGAATGCTTTTGTTCCCTTTTGTTATATTAAATATAACATATTTCATGTGTCTCAATGTTTCAAAACTTCATGGTAAATGTACAACCCAGATATGAAACATTATCATTTTGTATAATTTCTGGCACAGGGATTGACTTTTAAACATTAGTTTGCTTAAACATTGTTCTGTAATCCTCTAGTTTTGGGAATAATTACCGTAATTTCCGGACTATATTCCGGTACTTTTTTCACAAGCTTTGAACCCTGCGGCTTAAACAATGAGAATGCGACTAACTTATGGATTTTTATCAGGCAAGCGAAGTTCATACCGCTAGCGATTAATGACTTTTCTGGTAGGCTACTGTGTTTTTTTTTTTTGTTTTTTTTTTGTTTGTTGTCCAGGGCGCAGCCCAAGTACTCCTCTTTGTTTTTGGGGATAGGTTTTTACCTACTTGATTAGTGAAGCCAGGAGATTTTTTTGTATTTGCAACCAAACCAAATTAGTATAACGGAATAATCAGTTTATTATTGCATAATATTATTATTATTGGATACTTTATCCCTTTCTGTACTGAAGGCCATTTTCATCCTGAGAACACGAAGGCTGAGTCATACTGACAAACGAAATATTATAGAAAAATTATGATTTCATGTTTAATTTTCAAAATAAAATGGGCAGTGGTGGCTTAGTGGTTAAGGATGGAAAGTGAACTACTTGTCATTGTGACACAGCACACCACTGCACACAATGTGAACAGTGGGCAGCTTTAGAACAGTGGGCAGCTTTAGACGCCCGGGGAGCAATGTGTGGGGACAGTGCCATGATCAGAGCACCTCTGTGGTAACTTGGCAGCTGGTGGACTCAAACCTGAAGCCTTCCGGACCAAAGTCTGCTTCCTTAACCACTAAGACACCACTGCCCGGACTTGGGTCCGGAAGGCTTCAGGTTCAAGTCCACCAGCTGCCAAGTTGCCACAGAGCATGGCACCGTCCCCACTCACTGCTCCCCGGCCGCTTAAAGCTGCCCCCTGGTCACTTTGGTTTCACTTTCAAAATGCTTCCCTGTAGGACCCTACAGCTCACTGTTCCCCACCAGATGTAGAAGTGGATCTATTCACATTATGAGCAAAAAGATTTTGCTCATAATGCCCCTAGTGCCTAGAAGTTTAGGCAGATTTCTTTTGGAAATGTTCTAAAATATTCTGAACATGAATACAAGACTTATCATTCCACAAGTGAAAAATGTGTGAAAGTGACCCCTTAAAACAATGCGTGCTATGCTTGATGTTTGAGGTCATGTAAAAACCTTGTCAGCAGGCGTGAGCTTGGTCCACGGTTTGTCTGCACGTCTGTCATAGTCTTGTGCATGTGTGGACTCCACATATTCATGGAAACGCAGAATTTTCCTCGCCTGGAGTTCAGCCACTGTGGGCCTCTGTGACAACTGATGGCAGAAGAAAAAAAAAGTGTTGACACTATGCATTCACAAAAGGAATACACTTGAACTAACATTGATAAAATGTACTGACCTTTCTGGTGAGCCTTCGTTTAATCTCACATCTCTCTAACCTTCTATCTGCTTCATTCTTGGCTGGAGGAGAAAGTCACATCCCTTTAGAGTGTGGGCAATACAAATATCTACATACATAAACACACAAACTAACAAACACAGACACACGCACGCACAGGGATGCACCGAATATTCGGCCTCTGCAAATTTTCTGCAAGACTTTTATCACTTGCTTGGAGCTTGTCTGAAAGCTCCAACATGTCTACGGTGTGGACGCATTTCAATATATCTGAGAAAGACCCATGGATAGCGATTGGCAAATCATGTAATGCTAAAAGAGGGCATGCATCTGCAAAGAATTTCTCCACGTTGGGTTTAATTTATCACCTGAAATCCAAACATCCTGATTACTATGCTGAATATGAGAGGAAGGAAAGCCTCTTTGCGCTACAGCGAGTCTTGGTTGCATACAGCGCAGACCACGTGCTCCCCACGACACTCACTTCACACCTGTGGGTCTTAATAGGGAATATTCTCTCTCTCTTCTCTATTCCCCGTTTGCGCAGCTAACTAAAGAGATCAGCTTCTTTGATGAATGTGTAGCAGATGAATTTTTTTTTATACTGTGCATTGTTGGAATGTGCTGAATAAATATTTTCATAATTTTGTAATTGTTTTATTCTTTGAAACATTTATATTAATTTATGCAATTGCAGTGCCTTGATTTTACTGGGGTTAAGTACACAGTCACAGCCAAATATAGTTACATCAAGGGCAATTGGACAGAATGGGTTTCTTGAATCGAACATTTTACCTCTCATTCAAGAGGCTCCTTCAGTTCTTGGATGAGAGGTGAAACGTCTTTCAGAAACCCATTCTGTCAAGAGACCCATTCCGTCCAGTTGCCCTTGATGTAACTATTCTTTGGATAAGATGACCTGGATGACTGAGAACCTACACAAACATACACAGTCATAACCATAATTTCAATGGTACCAATAATTGGCATAATCATTTCTTTCAGTGTTTCGGTTTTCAGCCTTAGTTTCCTTGGTTTTGGCTAATAATTTGAATTTAATTTCAGTGCATTCCAAATATACAATATACAGTATATATACAGTTTATACATACAGTATACAGAGTACACCTGTAACCATGTTTTGTGTGTCAGGTGATCCACTTTGGCCTAAATAAAAAGTCCCTAATGTTTTTTTAACATTACAATTAACAGTTAACATGGACGGGTCTCGTACTATGAACAGAAGAAATAACACATCCCCAGCGGCAGGCACGATGGGCAGGCAGGTAAGGAGACCCTAGGCGATCCATCATTCAAGCCACGTTGATGTGCTTGTGTTGCAAGACACGCAAATCATATAAAAACAAAATCTGTGACTGAAACTGTGGCAGAGCAGGACTGTCATTATGATTAGGTTTGCAAGCTCATGCCGTGTATTTTTCCCTACTACCGTAAACACAATTGACTCAAGCAGACTTGAATAAAAAAACATAGGGAGGTGAATGGTTATGATGTACCTGGAAGAATGTTCCTCTGCTCCAGCTCTTCTGCTGTTGGTCTCTGACTCAGCCGCCTATAAATGGATAACACTGTTATTTAAGGACTCCTGAAGATTTGTGGAAGGCATTGTGACAGCACAGCTTTACCTTGTCAGTGTATGGCCAATCTTGTTCCTCACTGTCAACCACTGCTCTTTACTGTGCCAGCTCATGCTCTCGTCATTCTCTTGTGCGCTTCTTTCTGCCTTTTCTTGGTTCTCAGTCTTAAGGGCTAACGTGTCCTTCCTCTTCACACGGCTCGCCAGACTACCTAGTATACAAATAGACATTAAGTTTGGGGTCTTTTAGGGTTTTGCACTGCACACTGCATGCTTTATGTGCAGTAAATAAATACACTAAATACTACATTTATACATGACATGGTATAAGCAAGCAGAATGCTTTTGTTCCCTTTTGTTATATTAAATATAACATATTTCATGTGTCTCAATGTTTCAAAACTTCATGGTAAATGTACAACCCAGATATGAAACATTATCATTTTGTATAATTTCTGGCACAGGGATTGACTTTTAAACATTAGTTTGCTTAAACATTGTTCTGTAATCCTCTAGTTTTGGGAATAATTACCGTAATTTCCGGACTATATTCCGGTACTTTTTTCACAAGCTTTGAACCCTGCGGCTTAAACAATGAGAATGCGACTAACTTATGGATTTTTATCAGGCAAGCGAAGTTCATACCGCTAGCGATTAATGACTTTTCTGGTAGGCTACTGTGTTATACTAGTAGCGTATGTCTGTCTGTGAATGGGTGTGTGTGTATATGTGCATGAGGCGCACAAGAGAGAGAACGGTAGCCAAGGTTGAGAGCAGTTTGAGCCCTGTCATGTTGAAAACGTGAGTTGGTTATACAGGAGCTGTTAGAACACTGTTTATGTTCTGTTGTGCTCGGTGTGGCTGATAATAAAGACCTCAACTTCCCTGTTTCTGTTTACCTCTGCTGCGGACAAGCACAAAGTGAAGGGAGTTAGCCCCGTAGCTATTGTTAGCATCGCCCTGTAGCTGATCACTGAGTCTCCCGTGTGAATTTCAACTACGGTTGGGGTGCCGAAGCAGGAAAGAGCTAGCGTGTAACCAGCCGTGTTACAGTCATTGTTCGGAAAAAAGCAGTTATTTAATTAAAGGTGAATAAAAAATCTTTCTGTGTAATTATCCCATGTTACAATGGGGACACTTGGGGCTTATAAAGAGGTGCGGCCTATACTGTATATGTACAATTATAGTTTTATTTTTAAATGCAGTGGGTGCGGCCTATATTCAGGTGCGCTCAATAGTCTGGAAATTACAGTAGCAATGGCATGTAAACGAAAATAAAGTTTAAGAGTTCCTGTACTTTTAAAGGTACATTTAAAAAACATTAAATATACCACACACATTGTACAACATTGCAGCTTCAACTGGACAATTTTGACAGCAATTAAAACTCCTTTTATTTGCTGTAAAATACACAATAATAAAGGCATAGATCTGTATCTGGGTGTTAAGTCGTCACAGTATGTTTGTTACACAAATCTTTTGCATCCCTTGTTGAGTTGATTTTGTGATCTAAATAACGGATAACTTACTTGGAGGTCCCTCGTCATCATCATCATTGTCATCTCTGTAAAGGATGGGACCATCGGAGTCAGACTCCTCCTTGCTTTCCTCAGTGGTTCCACTTTCAGGGATGGAGTCCTCAACCAAACCTCTGCGACTTCGGGGCTCCAGTTCAGGCTTGCCGGGCCACCTCTGAGGCTTAAGCTTCCGCATCTCCTCCTCCATGTCAAAGTCATCATCATCAGGCCTAAACAAAAAAACAAATTTATTGAAACATTGCTAACAAAAAAAAAACCCAAACATATGAGCTACCTAAAGGCCCTGTTTGAACATGGAGTGCACATATGAGTGCTCACAATTTTGTAAATGAAAAAAGATGTGGCATTATTTCCATGTAATGGTAATATTCTGCATAATTATTTCTCAATTTTGACCATAATAACTGTCTAATTTCAAACAAGGAACATACCGCTGGGTATATTCTGGCCAAAATTATACTTAAATGATATTTTGAGTTAAATCAGAATATTATAAAAATCTGCACCAGCACAAACAACATTATTTTACTTCAAGTGTTTGACCTTTTAATAAACTAGTTGGTTGGGTGAAAACATTAACACACTATACATCTGTTGTTTTTTTAATTTGAGTTGTTAAGTATTAGTTATTAAGCTATTGGCTCACTATTTAGTTAACCACAGAGAGTTTACTAAGCACTTTTGTGGATGAAAACAGGAATTACATTTCTTTCTTAAATTATACATAATTAGCAATTGTTGAGAAGTGTAAAAGTAACTAATACTTAAAAATACCTATCCTTTATATCTACACAAGACTGATGGGAATAAAATGTCATTGAAAAAAGTTTAGGAATTGGTGTACATACACAATAACTACAATATGTAATGACAAAAAAATGGTCTGTCTGCAAAGACCCACAGTTTTGTAAGCACTGCTAGGGATCTCAAGAAAAAAACAATTGCAATTCCTCTGCATCATCATTAAAAAGAGTAAATAACAATTATTTCTTATGTAAGCATTTAATACAAATTACATGGAAGACTTACAGTCTGAGAGGCTCGATTGTGACAGGGAGAGAATGACGGTAATTATTACCGACATCGGCAAGGAATTCTGGAGGTGAATCAAAAAGCAGAGAGTGAGCCCTGTGAGAACCATCAGGATAAGGCTGAGCAGGGCCAGAGCTTGCCAGGGCCCTCTGAATGAGAACATGTAGAGGAATAGATGGAAGTTGGCTGGGAAGCTCAGGTGTCGTGCTGTGTGATTCTGTTTGCAGTGTATCGGAGGAGGAAGAAGCAGCACTTGGAGGATCAAGCGACTGAATGCTAGGAGTCAAAGGTGGTATGTGTGACGGCGGTGAAGGTGGTGGATCAGTCTGAAAAATTTGAGGAGTTGTCGCACTGCTTCCTTCTTCATCGTGAACTTCTTTATGGGGAGCAGGGTGCAATGATACAAGACCAGAACTATCCCGTTCTGGCTGTTCCACGAGATTCATAGAATGGCGCTTGGTCACAGGTGTCATTCTCTTTGGTGGTGTTGGTGGTGAGCGTTTAGCCTGAGATGGAACAACAATACTGCTGCTGCCTGGCTGTAAAAGGTCACCTATAATGAAAAAAAGAACAATGTATGTTTAACACACTACTTCTCAAATAGTGGGGTGGGCTGCCCTGGGGGGCGATATAGAGAGGGACCACTGTATTTTTAATAATTTGGTCTACAGAGATCCACCTATCTCTACTAGCTTCAGACGGCATATATACAGTACGGAAGGAAACCTTAAATTTAATTTTACATTGCACAAATAGGAGGTAAAAAAGTGTTTCGTAATTTGAAAAAATTTTAACAGTTTACTTCTCAAATGTACTACCTGAGTAATACCAGCAAAAATAGTAAGCTGAATCCCAAATTAGTTGAACTGTCTTACTACAGGCAATCAAAGAAAAAAAGAAAGAAAATTACTACATTATGTTCTAACTACAAGAGCAGACAAACTTACCAATTGGTGCAGGGTTGCTGTTACGGTTGATGGGTTTGGGTGGTGGGACAGGTGGCTGCTTGGCATGAGGAGGGACAGGAGGTGGTGTGTCAGAGTCTGTAGAGGGGGGAACGGGATGGAAGGTTCTAGCTGTGTTGTCAATTATTAAGGAAACAGTTCTCGGTGGCTTGGCCAGAGCTACAGGAGTGGAAGACAAGGAAGAAGAAGAGGACGAGGAGGATGAAGATGAAGATGAGGCGGGACTTTTGACTCGTTCATTAGAAGGTCCAGTTAGTAAAACTGGAGGAAGCAGGGCCTGTTTAGGTAAAGCGGGGCTCTGTTGGCAATCTTGTACAGAGTGATGGTCAGGGGTGAAGCGGGCAGCAGCAGACTCTAAAGACGGGTAAACAGACAAAGGTATTGTTAACTTTAATGGACTAAAAACCTAGGATTTAATGTCGACCACTAACTAAATTTCCTCTGAAACATCGGACAGAGTCCCCACAGTCCAAAAGGGGGGCATGACATTAAATATTTGAGGACCACAGCACTAAGGTAACGTATATGGTGTGGACAGCATTATGAAACTCAAAGTAATAAAGAGTTATGTGCATGTAGGAAGAAAGGAGGAAAGTGAACTCTTGTGACACAGCACAATGAAATGTGAACTCTGCTTTTAACCCATCACCGAAGTGAAGAGTGGGCAGCTTTAAGCAGTGTGTGGGGATAGTGACATGCTCAGAGCACCTTAGCAGTAACTTGGGAGCTGGTGGACTTGAACCTGAAGCCTTCCGGACCCAAGTCTGCTTCCCACTTAGCCACCACTGCCATCTGGCAATATAACAAATTTATTCCTGAAGAATGGAGTACAAAATTGAAATATGGACTGACTACAGATTATTAGTGATCTCATTAAACCTATATGATGTGATTAACTCTGTAGTCCCTTTACAGACAAATTGTGAGAGAAACTAGGTAAGAAATGTCAAGGACCCAAGTGAAGAATAAATAAAAATAGGGAGCATTTGGAGTATTTCTTTTCTTTTACAAATAAGGCCATTATACATTGTACATTATCCTCATGATCATATTTACATTCATCTCTGTTTTGCACTGCTCTTTACATCTACCTCATGCCATAGTTCCTTTGTTTTACCTCTGTTTTGCACTGCCTGGTTCTGTTAAATTTCAGCTCATTATACTTACCTCTGTTTTTGCACTGCTCGCTTTTATTTGCACTGCTCGGTTTTTGTACAATATCTTTCTATATCTCTCCTTTTTATTACTTCTTATTTTATTACTTTTATCCATGTTGATTGTTGCCGAGAGCCCGGAAAAAATCTCGTTATGCTTGCACAACGACAATAAAGTTCTTGAATCTTGAATCTTGAATCTATACCCTGTAGTTGAAGAATCCCTTACAACACTTTAATCCAGATTATTTTACCCTTTGCTTATATATATGGCACATTTCATTTGGCTCCAAAGCCTGGTTTATATGCTTTTCCTCAATAGCTGAAATGCCGAATTTCAGTAAAAACATCATTCTGCACAATCGTATTTTTCTCACCAGCTGGCAGGTTTTTTTTTTTACTTGACATTGCTTGCTTGAATAGATAAATGTATGCAATTGACGCATCAATGTTTTAATGCAAAACCAAAAATGTAATGTATAAATAATTACAGGGGGGTCTCGGTTTATGACGCTATACGCAGAAGATAGCTTTGTTTGTCTAAGTCAGACAAACTACGGCAAACTACAGCAAACCGAACACTACTACAAGGTATGGTAGACTGAATTCAAGCTAAATTTGCTTTCTTTTACTGGTCTTGTCTTTTTTTTAGGAACTTTTTGCCATTCGTTATTGGAGTTGGAGTTATGCTGTGCCGTAGAAATGTTGGTCTGGGACCCCCAGTATTTATAAATTGTTATTAAATTGTTATTTACCTGAACGCTCTCTGAACTCCGGAATGGCTGTGTATGAAGGAAGAGTACTCCAGCGACTAGACTCTGAGGACTGATGAGTGTTCTTGTTTTCCTCTGATGAACTCTTTTGTAGAGGAGGCCGCAAGTTTATCTCTGAAATGGGTCTGACAAGATGTTGCCATTCCCTGTCTTCCCTAGTCTTGTCCTCCCTACTGCTCTTGTCCTCTGTACAATCTTTGTCTTCTTGCTTGCGCCTAATGTCCTTTCTGTCTTTATTGTCTTTGTCTGTCTGTAAATCTTTTCTATCTTTGTCTTCCTTGGCCTCTGTCTTTTCCTTAACAGGCCTGGGAGTCCTATCTTCTCTTCTGTCCCTGTGGTCCCTCCTGTCTCTATTATTTGGATCCCCTTGTTCCTTCTCCTGACGATCTGTACCCTCTTGTTCATTCTGCTTTCTCAATTCTCTGTCCTCCCAATTTACACTTTCATGCTCAACCCTGTTAGACAGTTCTCTCACTCCGCATTCTCTGCGTTCTTGCTCATTCCAAACCATTGGTTCTCTGTCCTCTCGACTTCTGCATTCACGTTTATTTGGATCCCTCCCATCTCTTCTGTCTCGTTTTGTCCACCCTCTGTCATCACAATCTCTTCTTTCTCTTTCATCACGATCTCTTCTTCCCCTATTGTCTCTATCAGTCTTTTTATCACTCCAGACACAGTCCTCTCTCCCTTCTTTCCTATCTCTGAAATCTCTGTCTTCCCTGCAGTTGAATGACCCCTGACTAATGACTTTTTCTCTATCCTCTCGCCAGGCTCTTCTTTCTATGTCATCTCTTTCCTTCTTCAATCGGTCATCTGCCTCTCTTTTTTCTTCATGGAATCGATTTTCCTGAGGAGGTCCTCGGTATCCTCCTCTCTTATCAAAATCTAGGCATTGTCTATCTGTGTCAACTGTGAGTCGAGCATGAGAGTCTACATCCAAAGGTGCACGATTACTTCTGGAAGGCTCAGACCGCAAACTGCTCCTATGTTCGTCTTTTTGAGTAGGTTTTTGCTGATTGGACCTATGATCAGTCCCTCCCTGACAACTGCCGACTCCAGTTTCCAGCATTCTGTCCACATCCATTGCAAAGTGCCCATTTTTCAAGGATGAACCTTTTGACACAGAATTGCTCTCTGTTCAGGAAGACAGACAGACATTTAGGATAAACAATAAAACATTAACCCCACTTTTTTCTTAAATAGAATACCACTAAAGAAAAACAATTAAGCAATACACTACCATTTTCTGGTATATCTTTTAAAAGTCCTCTTGCAATCAGCTCTTGGCGACTTTTCCTTACAGAAATCTTTCTCTCTAAAGCTAGATGGAAAAAAAGTAATTCAAAGTTGAAAACTTACATGCTGTATTTAAACAAACAAATATAGGGAAATAGAGAGTAAAGTACATACACACCATACCTACAGATGTTTCAGCAAATTTATCACTTGGTTTTTTCTTTCTCCACTTCCATGGCTTAAAGATCCGTCCCATCTTAGAGAACTTGCCTTTGTGTTTAATTGGAGGGGTTGCCCCATCAGTGGTCACTTCTTCACAATCTGCTGTGGTGTGCTTCAGGTTAACTTCATTATCTGCAATTACAAGAACATGAAGCATATGAAGTAATATTTTTTTACTGCAAATGTTTTTTTTAGGAAGGAGTAAATAAATGAGTAAATTAAGAATGCTTTCAAAAGTGAGAAGGTAAGTTAAGTTTATTTGTATAGCACTTTTCACAGGAACATGTCTTGTAAATAAACTTTGTGTGTCATCATGAATCATATGAGTCGGGTGTGTGCCGTGAACCCAGGTTAAGAACGATTGTTAGATTTCAGTGGTTTTCACATTTGGTTTGGGTCTGAAAGTAGGAAGCTGCTAAGGCACCAAAGGTTTTCCCAAGCACATACAGCCCCAACAAAGAGAATTTCCCCCAAATTTCTCTTCACACCAACTCTCCAGACGACTCCAAAACAATCCTGGGAATGATGGGAAGGCTCCCAATTCATATTCTCACAGGGAACCCTGGATCCATCCTTTCCTTTTGATCTACATAACCACCTGTTGTTGGCCGGACCCCAAGGCTCCGTCCACTTCCTTTGTATTAACACCCCACTCAGCAACAAAATGTTCATAAAACTGTCCTCCAACACTGTGGTTGAAACACCATCATTCAAGTCTGTGATAGAGACTTTGCAATCTCATACAGTATTGACAAGGAAAACATTATGCACAAGAATACAGGAAGCTGCAAAACACAAGAAGAGCATAATTAAAAAGCTGAGGGATGTGAACTATGTTGCTACCACAACAGACTGCTGGTCTGCTAGACAACGTAGCTACTTAGGTGTCACCTGTCACTGTGACAACACCTCACGAGAGAGGCACTCCGCTGCATTGGCTTGTAGATGTATTAGAGGAAATACATTCTGAATACCACATCAGGGAAAAAGTGACCAAGACGACAACAGACAGTGGCTCAAACTTCCTGAAGGCCTTTCGGTTATATGGTGAGGAGAAAGTGGAGGAAGCCACCAATAGACAAGAGGAGAGTGACTCCACCCTTGATAATGTAGCAGAAGATGAGAGTGAGTCAGAGGTGGAGTATCAAGATGTGTCTAGAATTCTTGATGACAACACAGGCCTTGAGTACCAACTTCCAAGGCACCAAAAGTGTGCATGCCATCTTCTCAATCTTATATCCACAGTTGATGCCACTGCTACAGGAGGAGCAGCCAATGAAATGTACAAGAAGCTGTCTAGGTCTGCTTTTGCAAAATGTCATGCTCTTTGGAACAAAACAAGCAGGTCAACCATAAAACAGTGGAACGTGAATGCAAGCTGCAGTTTCTCCAACCCAATCAGACATGTTGAAGCTCTTTGTTCCTTGCTGTCGAAAGGATTGTGCGCATCCACCGGGAGCAGGGAGAACAAGCAATTCGAAATGTCTGCACAGCAATAAAGATAGAGCTGTAAGTTGACAAAACTTATATTTTAAAGAATAAAAATAAACAAACCTTACAGTTTAATGGTTGAATCAAACTGTCTCAAGTAACTTAGTTTTCTTTGCTTGGTGGTATGACAATTGTGGATTATTTGAATGAAATAATTTAACAAATGCATTTTATTTTCATTTATTTATGTATTTAACATGACAATTCACAATAAACACATTGCACCAGAAATATCTAAGTATTTTTTGTCATAACATCTTTTATAGGTTCAATCCAGCTGAAATGGGATTTTTAGTGGAGTTTGCTGCTGTGATGAAGTCCTGTTGCTGTGGCCCTTAATATCCTCCAAGGGGAATCATCTGTGCATATGGGCCTCCTACTGCCAACACTGTACCAGTTGCGGGACAAGCTGAAGAGGCTAGAGTCATCTTGCAAAATGTGTACACCTCTTGTTTATGCCCTGCAGAGAGGAATTGAGAAACGTTTTGGAGACGTCATGAAAGAGCCTGAGCTGATTGCAGCAGCAATACTCCTACCAAGATTTAGAACATCCTGGACCACAGAGAATATCTTAAATGCTGGTAAATATACTTGTTTAATAATTCAAATGTGAACCAGTAGACAGTAACATAAATCTGTATAATGTTGCTGTCATTTAGGAGTAAATTGTGTCAGTGACAAACCACAGGGTGGCAATAGTTAGAAGCTCTGGTAGCTTTTTATGTCAAACAACAGCAACTTCACACCCTATAAAGTAGAGGGGTAAGAATAATGTGCAAACCCACTGTAATTATTTTAAAAACGATTTATCTTGCCACAGGCCTTGACTACATCAGCTACTACAGCAGCCACTTCGATGAAATTTACTTCTTTGCATTCATGAAGTTAGGACAATCTCAAGTTGGAGAGCTGGAGAGGTACCTTACATGTCTGTCCACTGCAGGTATGGATTTACTCCACACCTTTCTTCACGTCAAAAAGAAGCTGTCGCTCAAAATCAACACAGGTCTCCCTGCATCTGCAGCCTGTGAGAGACTTTTCAGTCATGCAGGACTCCTTTTCACTGCTAAAAGATCACAGCTTAACTACAGCAACCCTGAAAGCCAACCACTGTTGAAGCTTAATTGTCACATCACTGAGTGATTCTTTGGTGAAAATGTTTCTGAAAATGTTTCTGAATGTTTTGTCTCAAACGCACAGTTTATGGGAGATTATGGCCTTGTTCTATCTTATGTTGAGCCACATGCACAGAGTTTATGGGCTGCCTTGTTCTAGTTCTAGTTCTAGCTGAGCCTGGTGAAAAAGTAGAGAGGTTTGGAAGTTTGTGTTAGTTGTGCTGTAATTTAAGTTATTTCATATATATTGAATTCTTTATGCACTTTTTATGGTTTATGGGCTGCCTTGTTCTAGTTCTACTTCTAGCTGAGCCTGGTGAAACGGTAGAGAGTAGCTTTTTATGTCATTGATTTTTATTTTTTATTGAAGTACTTTAACTTACCTAAAGATTATTTTATTTTAAGGTGTTTAATCAATTTGTTTTGTTTTTTCACCATGTACTTTTTTACTCTTACTCAAGTAATTATTTGGATGACTACTTTTTACTTCCACTTGAGTAATATAATTACTAAATAACAGTACGTTTACTTAAGTACAATTTTTGGCTACTCTACCCACCTCTGCAGACAGTTACGCATTAAGGCACCAAAGAAAGAGTCATCTCTCTCTTTGAGAAAGCTCATCCATAGACGCAGGAAGAAGCAAACTTGTATTGAAACAGTGGAGGAGGACTCAGACACCCCTGATGTGATCTCTCTCAGGAAGCACCAGCAGAACCAGCTGTAAGCCAGCTTAAAGTTCCTTCTGAAGAAAGATTTCTCTTTTTCTCTTTCAGGGATACGAAAGCATGAGAAGGGCGCTTGTGTTTCAGATCTGGGTTTATGGTATGGCTTAACCCCAGCTACCTCCTCCACATCCTCAAACTTGCTTACTAACTCACTCACAACACATGCCGCTGAATACATTGATTTACAATGTAATACATTACAAGTCTTTACAACCGTCTAAAATAAATCATAGATGGCTAGAGGACACACACAAATCTGGGTTCTGCTCGTGGCATTTAAACTACGCTCAGACTGCGCACAAAAGCCTGAAAGCAGCAGTACAGAAGACAAAAATAAAACTGCTGATAAAAGAAAACAAAATACACTGGTGCAAAATTTAAGAAATTAAAAATGTATGGCAGTTACAAGAAAACCATCAGTTACCATCAGTTACTAGATTTTTCAGCTTTAATAGATTCCCTACTTTTAGGTAGACTCAAACACTGAATAACGGATTAAAAGGATAAATAAGAACATTTTATTTTATTTGTCTTACTTTATTTCAAGAGACAAAATGTCTCTTGAAACTTCAACAGGACCCATAATGTGAAATAACTGGAATAAGAGGAAATAATAGAAAAATAAAAAAATAAATTAAATTAACTGAAGAAAAAATATCACTGCTCAGACTGTTGCCCCCGCTACCCAGTCCGGGATAGGCAGACGATGATAGATGGAAAAGAAAATATCTAGTTTTTTATTTTTATTGGTAATCCTAAAACCACTATATTACATTTCCACACATCCCTATAGCACAACAGGAACTTATATAACTTATAGACAAATAACATCTACAGCCACATTGACAAAAAAAACGGGTCTTGCTGCAAACTGCGCTTTAATGTTGGCCCGTTCAAAGGCATGTACAGGAACCTGATGGATGGCATTCGGATGATTCTGTCCCCCACAGCTGGCATGGCTGGGCTCAGGGTTGACTGGTACACTGCAGACTGATTGGCCAGCTCTTACTGGAATGCACCTGTTGCCGGGATCCCTAGTGTGGTCAGCACTTGTGTGGACAACGACAACCCCTGGCTCCTTGACGTGTTGACCTCCAGTGCCAGCCGCAGCTCAGCGCATCTTGGTAGACGAAACTGGCTCATCAGCCAATTATCATCATTTGCCAGCAAATTCTTTGCGTTTTTGTTTATTTCGTTTTTGTTTCGAGATCCTCTAAATAACCTTTCTAACATTATGTACATTAATTGATAGTATTATTATTAGACCTGCAGGAACGTTCAGGGGCGTTGGTACGGTGCAGTGTGATTGGTGTGATGCGGTGTGATTTGAGTGGTGGTCATGAAGACTGCTGCCCCCGCAACCCGGTTATGGATAAGCGGATGAAAATGGATGGATTATTATTACATTTGGTTGTTTTTTTTAGCACATGCTTTGTTTTCAGTTATGCATTTTATTTTGTTTTTGCCATCATCTTGATCTAGTTAGTTTAATAAATGTTTATTTTTTCTTAAAGTGGATTTGCCTTTTGTGTTTAAGAGTAAAGGTTTTAATTTAATAGTTCATTCATGTCTTGGCTGTGAAGCAAAGCTCCTTCTAAGTCTCTTTCTGTGTGAGAACATGGATCAAGCAAAATGATGGTTTTTCATTATAACAAAAACAATTATCATGAAGAAAATCATTATCCAAATATTTCTCAACAGTTCTTGTACTTAAATCTGTAGATGACATTTATGGAAATCATGGACTATGATATTGCGCAGATGCACGTGACGCAATTATATGAGAGCCAACAGACCCGAGTGTGTATTTAATTTCAGTGAAAAATAATAAGGTAAAAACAGAATTAATAAAAAGCAAATAGAGAACTAGATTTATTTATAATAAATTTAGGCTGAATAGGCTACCAGGCATTGCATGGCCCACACATGACTGGTTGAGTTTAAGTCGAAATTCTCACCAGTTCAGTTTCTTGAGTTGATTACTGCCCTACTTCTCACCAACAATGTCCTCTTTCATCACATGCACACTTTTTTCCTCTATCACCAACTGCCTTTTTTCCCTCTCAATATAAAAACCATCTATAATATCAGCCGACCTGTCGTGGTCCAAAAACACCTCATCAGTACTAAAGAAGGCCCAGCAGTGCATGCACTTCCTGAGGCTCCTCAAGATCAACAATATTAGTCAGAAGCTGCTGGTGAACTTTTACCGCTCCTCCATTGAGAGCATTCTCACCTATTGCATCTCCGTATGGTCCACTCTCTGCACTGAGGCAGAACGGAGGAGGCTACAGGGGGTGGTGAAGATGGCCCAGAGGATTATCAGCTGCCACCTCCCTGAAGGACATGTACACCTCCCGATGCCTCAGCAGGGCGGAGCGGATTACTCTGGATGTATCCCACCCCGCACACCATCTCTTTGAACTATTGGCATCAGGCAGGCATTACAGGTCCATCAGAACCCAGACCACTAGGCTGACAGTTTCTTTTCCCAAGCCATCATCAGACTGAACTCACACATGCACTCAACACATCCCCTCACCACACCACAGTACACTACCTTGAGCAATAACCTCACTACAAATACTAAACCCCTAATTTAAAAAAAAAATCTATATTATTATTTATATATAAAATAAAATTTCTTGCTGTTGTTATTGTGCTGATCGCTGCTTGTTGTTTTGTTGAGTAATGTTTGTATATATGTATCTGTGATACACCTGCGGAGAAGCCTTCCCCAAATAATCCCGTCTACCTTGGTCAATGTAAATCTTCATTCATCAACATCCATCCCAGCCTTCTGTCAATTTAACAGAGCCAATGTCTCTAAATCATACATCATAGTAAGTCAAACCTTCTGTTTCAACTTTGCTGCTATTTGTCTGTCACAATCACCACTTGCACTCGTCTCCATTCATTTAACTCTTCCTGCACACTTTTTTTCACCTCCATCTTTAATGTGGATGGTTGACTCGAGGTCTTTTAATTCATCCACCTTCACTATCTTTATTTCTTGCATTTTTGACATGCACACACGCACATGCACAACATTATAGTTTACTTTACATTTCCCAACAAAGGTGTATCATATTTTACCTTGACTTTCCATCACTGGGACCAAGACCAGACAGTCTGCACCTGTAAAAAAAAAAAAATGTACAGCTAGTTAAAAATAAATAATAAAATTGAAGAATATGATTGTAGCCTAAGCCAGTGGTTCTCAAACCTTTTATTCTCTGTACCACCTGAGAAAACACTGAGCTCTCTGAGTACCACCATTTTAGGGGCAGTGGTGGCATAGTGGTTAAGGAAGCAGAGTTGGGTCCGGAAGGTTTCAGGTTCGAGTCCACCAGCTGCCAACCTACCACCGAAGTACTCTAAACAGATGCCTCGTGATACGGAGAAACAGCTAGTTTTGAGTGCTCAACCGAGCTCCATTTTTCCACTCGACACTGTCGCGCTAACTGTCCCTTGCTTGATTATTCACTTTCTTTTTCTATTTCCCTTTCTTTCTTTCTTTCTTTCTCTCTCTCTCACTTTCTACCATCTAAATCGAGTCCTCATTCCCAGTCCTAACAATAATATTAAATGTTATTATTTTATATTATCAATATATTTGTTTATATCTATGTGTTTGATGTTTAGACAGGGGGTTAAGTTTAATTTAATTAATTAATAGTATATTTCTGGGTGCTTGCAATGAATTAATTGGCTTTTAGTTATTTTTAATGGGGAAAATGTACTTAGTAGTCTACGAGGGGTTATTTCTAACAGAGTTTTTTTTTAAATGTCAACATTTAAAATGTTTTTGTTTCATAAAACATAGTATGTTGAAGAGTTGAAAAACTTTTAAAACAATTGAGTAATATTTCCATGGCACAAAAGAAATAAATAAGAAAAAGAAAAAATATTGGCATAAGTTGTTACTTTAAACATCAGTATCAAAACAGAACTTTATAATTGGTGCATCTTTAGTTATAATTGTTAGAAGTAAAGTAAAAGTGAAGTAGGTAAAGGAAATAACTAAGGATGCGGTGAAATTGAAATTCTTGGCTGAAACAGAAAACTGAAAATGAGGAAGCCATGGCCAAAAAAACGAAACGCCGGAAAAAATTATTTTGCCAATCATTAGCATATTTTCATTTATGTTTATGACTAACCTTATTAAAATTAAGGTAATTGCATAAATTAATATTAAGGTTTCAAAGAATAAATAATAACACAATTATCATAATTGTGTTATTATTTATTCTTTGAAACCTTAATATTAATTTAGAATATTTATTTAGCACATTCCAACAACAAACAATATAAAATAAAATATGGATATGGATATGGGATATGATGGGCTGGTTCTGCACACTGGGTCCACCCATCTGTTAGCTAAATGCCTGTCTCGCCCAGATGCGCGCACGGCTTACGGTTACAAACACGAGACAACACACACCATGGTGGAAGCACTGGGCCTGAGCGGCAAGTCAACTAATGTTTCTCAAAACACCTAACTCCAAAAGTCACATTTGGAACTATTTTGGTCTTAAGCAAGGCACAGACGGTAAAGCAATAGACAATAGTCATCCACTGTGCAGGCGCTGCCACCAAGCTATAGGAGCAAAAGGAGGGAACACATCCAACCTCATAAAACACCTGCAGTGCCGTCACCCAGATGTTGAATACCAGGTTAGTATGCCCTGTTTATTTTTTAATTGGCTAATATTAGGCTATATGCTCTATGTACAGGCTAAAGAATGAAGAGTTAAAGAATGTCAAAGTATAATGCACCTAGAAAATGCATAAAAATATAGCTTTCACAGGGAATCAGTTCCTGTTAATTGTATTTTGTCCTCTACGGTTTATTATGTTGGAGAAGAAGCATTACTGTCAAATAGATTTAATAGAAATAGAAGGCCAGTGGATCTGGGTTTTTTTTTATAAATGTTATTCCTAAAAATATTTCTTTCAGTCGTATTCTTATTTCAACAGTATTATTATCACAGTATGTTTATGATGCACTCAACAACATTATAAGTAATTAATATGTACCTTATTTTTCGGACCATAAGGCGCAACAGATTATAAGGCGCACTATCAATGAACGGAAATATTTTCATACATAAGGCCACTGCATTTTAACTGCACCTTATAGTATGAAAAATACGGTATTTATACACATTACATTGTAGTTATAATTAATAATAATAATAATAAAAAAGGCTGCAGTATCGCAATAATACCCGGAACCATGATACTTTGTCTTGTATTGTATCGTGGTTACTTATTTTGGTATCATGACAACTCTACTGCAGTGTCATTGCAACGTCCTGTTTTGGCCACGTTGATAGGGTAATAAAAGTCCCAAATGTGCATGTTTGGTTTTCAGCTGAAGATTATTGGTGGCTGAATATTTTCAGTGGCCCATAGGTACGTCCCTAGTAATGAATGATCATGAAACATTGCATTTCAAATTAACTGCTGATCCTAAAAATTGCATTAAAAATTCTTTTTTTTTTTTTAACTTTTATTAACACTACATGGAAGTCATTTTATTTATTGGCTGTCAAATTAACAGTGGTGTTGAACATTATCTTACGTAAACTGTGGTGTTTTCTCAGTTTAAAATGGGCTCTACCTTGTACTTACAACACCTTACTTTGATAAAAGAAACAGGAAACAAATTCCCCTTTATATCGTACCTGCATCTTTACAGAATTTTGTGATGTTTGGAGATTTTATGTGGCAACTAACTTATATAGGTCTGGATAATATGCACATGTCATATGTCAAACTAACCTCAACCTGTGGAATATTTTTAACTTGGAAATGTTCGAAACACCATTGCAAATTGTTCATGGCAAACACGGTAATTGTCACCTTTTGGGGAACCAACAAAGATAATTGGTCATGGGAAAACATTAGAAATTGCCAACACTGAAAGCGGTTTGGTATCCTTTGCAAAAACAGCCAAATAGGATGCGCTGTTATTTATACACTTCATAAAAAGGCACAATGGTGCAAACAATGATACACCTTTCCTTTGCGTCTTCTATGTGGACTCATTGTCAAACTATTGTCAGTTCTACTCTTTAGTTAATGTGGGGAACTCTCTCACTCTCATTTCTGTAATAATTTGATTATTTGCAAACACCAGGGAGTTAATGGCAACTGTGTACTTGGTGGACACTGCAAATGCTAATAGCACTCCCTAATTGTACCAACAGCATTGTCAACTATGTACTGCTTTCCATAACTGCATATCTAATATTTCCACGTCCTTCTGCTTCCATTGCTCTTATACAGCGGACACAGATTACTTGCAAACACTGCAGGAACGTATTCTCAGTCATCCATGTCATGGTCAAGGTTCTTATATAGCTATATATAAATATAAATATAAATATATATATATTTCCAAATATATATAAATATATTTATTTATATATCACACATTTCTAAAATTGTGTTCTCCCTTTATTTGGAAAAGTACCTGAACACATGTTGGTACCGGTACCTAGACCCAAAATGTTGGTGGTGACAACACTACTCTGAGGTAAATAACTTGGTCAGAAAGCATAGAAATAAGTCCAACAGCTTCAATAAATTCTTCCACTTTATTTTCTACATGCTCTCGGTCGCAGGTCCTGCTTCCACAGTCTCTGCTACGTCTATATCTCTCACCAGCTCCGTAGGAAAATCAATGTCTTCCATCATCTCTTTCCAGGCAAGCTATTTCATACCAATCGATCAGCTTAAATTAGCATTAGCCCTGCCCACTGATTTTAATAGGCAAGTTTGACAGATAAAATTAATTCATAAAGTACTGCAACACCGAGCCAAGAAATAATTAAATGAACTGTGATATAATTATATGTTTTTTACATAAATTGAACTGGTATTTTAATTAATTAATGACATTATTTAATGATGCATTTATTGAGCACTTTCAGTCCTCCATAGGTCAACACTTCTCAATGCATCTGTACTTATTTTATCACAAAGAAACAAAATCAGTGTGATTACTCATCGGCTGCTGCAACACATTGCATTTATTATACATAATCAATGACAAAAGGGATATTTTTAATTATACTTTCTATTGAACTACTTCTATTGAACTGAGAGATCATTTCAAAACTTCTGCAAAAGTTCTAAGAACATGGAAGTCTAGTCCATTATATCGCAGCACGAACAGAAAACATGCAATGCAAATACTGGTTAGACTATTGCTGTACTATTGAATGTATTTTTTCTGTCTATGGGTACTGTCTCTGTGGTTTTGCTACTTTTCTGTTCTCCTTTGCCTTGTTTTCTTTCCAATTGTCTTATTATTCATTCCATCATTTAGATTAGTTAAAAAGAAAACAGGATTGAAAGAAAGACATCTCACTATTGATGCACATATTCGGCCACCAAAAAATGTATACTTTGATACCTGAAACAACACAGCCGAAACAGAAAGTTATGATGACGCAAGCAAAAACCATGGCCACTGCGGGCTTGTCTGAAAGTGCCAACATGTCTGCAGTGTGGTGTATTTCAATATACCTGAGAAAGACCCACGGATAGCAATTTGCAAAACTGTAATGTAATGCTGAAATGTAATGCTGAAATTTCGGGAGGAGGCAAAAAGCAAACTCATAAAGTCTGTCAGCCAACGTTTCACTGAGATCTATTCGGATCCCCTTACTCGTCAGGACTGTACTTGATCATGCTGCTATGGACGTGGAGAACCCACATTGAGACGAAGAAGCTCACAGCACAGGAGATGGAGTGCAGAGTGCAGCAAAAAGGACTTGTTTCTCTGTGCCAGATGAGGGGCAGGCTCGTTGTCTGATATGTTTTGTGAGATCCTGCAAGAGAGTGCCTCAAATAATAATAATAATAATAATAATAATAGGTAGGCTATTCTGTTCTGACCTCCTATGTGACTATCAGTTTATTTTATTTCTCTGCTAGACATTTGACAATTCATTTTTTTAATTATTAATTTATGCAATTGCACTGCCTTGATTTTATTAAGGTTTAGTACAGAGTCAAAGCCATAAATGCAATGGTATTTTTGGTTTTGCTGAAACCCTACATCTTCCTGTTGTTAATTATCTTTCTCATCAGCAGTATGCAGACAAAGACTTTTGTCATAGTTATAATTGTTGATTTATCTGTATTAATCATAATTAACAATGTTTAATTATGGTCATTATTTATCATGAAACAACCAGGGTTTTGTACGTACCTTAGTATTGACATTATGGTCCAGTAAGTTTTTGGCATAAATAGATAAATAAAATCTTAAGTGCATCATGGTTCATGGCTCTCATACTCTCATAATAATTTGACACTGCCCCCTTACCTCTGATAGACAGGCGTGTGTGCTACTCGTACACAAGAGGAGTTTGCAATGCTTTTGCATGATTTTTTTTTAGTAGCAGTCATTCCCACAGTTGATGGTGTTTCAAATGACTTATCGTGTTCAATGTATTTAACCAGCGGGATAGCCAATCTTGACTGTGTCAAAACAATGCAAAATGTCATGTTTCCTTCAGTTTATCTCCACTGTTACTGTTGCTTACTGAAAAAATGTAGTGTTCTCTGACAGCTGACCTGAAGACATTGCTTCGCCCTGATATATGTACGTAATAAACATATAATATAATACAAGTAATAATATATTGTTACACGTGGACCAAAACCCTTGGTATACTAGTATTGGTACTGGAGTCCTATACATAAAAGTTTTTTGCACACACACACACACACACACACACACACACACACACAAATAATATATATATATGCAAATAATATATATACACAAATTATATACAAATACACAAATAATATATGTATATATACACACACAAATAATATATTGGGTAACAGTTCCAGGTCTGTTAAATGTATTGTCTCGGGCAAAAAGGTTTTACTCCTGCTGTACTATACAGTCTAAACACTTCATATACTTATTTACTAAAATATTAGTATAATATTATATTAATGGAAATGCAAGGAGGGGGGTTGAGCAGATTATGCATCTGCTGAATAAAAAAGCCAGACTGGAGGTGGTTTGAGGTGAAAGTCATAACTTTTTAACTTAACAAATTCTAATGAAGTTATCTTAACCAATATTTCTTTGACTTAATCCAATGTAAGTCTGAGGTGAAACCTGGGTTTTACAATTGTATCTCCACCTAACATGGTGAATTACCTGATTACCTGTCTAGAAGAAACACAACAGACATAAGCTTTTTGTGTCAACCCACAAGTCTGTGTTGGGCTATACGTGAAATAGTACTGCTTTCACTCAGCGCAGATTACAGAGGCTGCTTGTACAAACATGTAGACTTGCCTTTAAATGGAATGCAGTAGAATGTTTCACAGGACAGGACACTCTAATAAGACAACTGTAGTGGGATATAATTGCAGTTGTACAGATCGTTGTGTTCAGAAAGAATCAATTTAACAAATATGAAAATGGATCATAACAATAATAGAACGGAGATAGTTAACACTTCCACACTTTTAAGTGCCGTTTAAATTTTGCATACACAAGTGACACAACAGTAGGCAGGTGCGACTAGTAAACAATGGAGGACAACCGTGGGAAAGCGGTTGTACTTAGCCAGCGTTTCAACGAGGTCCTTTAGCCTGACAACCTCTTCGCCTGCCAGAGCCGCTACATACAGCGAAGAAGTAACACCAATCTCTGTTTGCTAGGAGCTAAACAACAGGTGGCTTAGCTCCAAGTTAGCCTACACATCTTAGTTCCTACTTCGACGTCTAAAAGACGATTGTAAAGTAAGTTCGAGAATCACACTCACCTTTTTAGAACACTGCCGAAGCCCAGAAAAAAAGCGTTCTGCTGAAACTACTTGTCTTTTCCTTTTTCCTTTGCTGTGTCCCTCTGACCCTTTGGTTACTTTTGATATTTGTTGGCGCTGTGCATTAGTAGAGGAAAGCAGGGCGGAACTAGCTTCACGAAGTACCTTTAGACCCGAGTACGGTAATAAAACAACCCTTCTGAAACGGTCATCATCGCATAAAAGTACAAGGGTATTATTACCACTTTGTACACCGAGTGACCAGGAACAACTCAAACGTTTTTCTTAAACTTTACCTTACGCAATAAGTCAATTGAAAGACTAAATGCTGCAGCGCATGCGCTTGTCTTAGACGAGACGTCACAGCGATAGCAACAGAGAATCGCACTTTAAACGTAATACATATAATTTACCATAGTTAATGTGTAGTACAGCTCATTTGAAGCCATTGGCTTAAAAAAACAGATAAAAACAATTGAAACGAAGGCTTTAATACGTGCAATTAAATAAAATGTTTTTATATTAATATATTAAGTGTAACAAGAACTCCCCATACAAGTAACATCTGTGCTGTATGATGTACTCTTTATACAGTGAGGTTACGAATATTTAACAATACTTAGTTTTCAAAACTATTTAAGCATATTAGGTAAAATATTGAAATAGACGCACACAGACACACACACACACACTGGTACTCCGTTTTTCTCTCAACGTCCAAAAACATGCTCATCAGAGACATAGGTTCATCGGCCACTATAAATTAACCAGGTATATCAATGTGGTTGTTAATGGCAGTTTGTCTCCTTCATGAAGGAATGGACTGCCCAGGGTGTACCTTGCCCTTGCCTGTTGACAACTGGGATTGGCTCCAGCCTGCCTCAGCAACCTTGCAAAGATTTAACTGGTAGATAATGAATAGATCACAATACATTACAGTAAAACTTTTTTAGATTATAGATAAACTTGTCAGCCAACTGAATATATTGCTACACATCCTTAAAATTTACAATTAAATCAAAAAATATTTTTTCTCAACTCAAATCTAGGGTCAGGTTTTGGGTAAAGATGTTAAGGTAATGTTGTTTCTCCTAGGACTCCACTGATTGAGTGGATTTCTCCTCACCCTAAGGCAGTACTTCTCAAATAGTGGGCCGGGCCCCGTGAGTTTAACATCTGAACATCTGAATTCCAAAAACATGTTTGGGTGGATATAAAAAAGTGACTATATAAAGCTTTTATTGAATGTATACATAAAATATGCTGGTGCCCTGTGACCTGTTGAAGCTAGACTGGAGACCAATAACCTTACTATGCAATCACTACACTACTTACTTGTTTTAGTTTATGCTTTAGTTTATCGCCTAAAGCACACGTGTCAAACTCAGGCCCGGGGGGCAAATCTGACCCGCAAGATCATATCAAATGTGTACTAGAGTTGACCCGCCAGTATATAGCCCCTATATGCTAGCAGAATTTGTATTATTGGTGTATGCGCTATGTTATAACGCATACATTGTTTTTTTGCTGTTGGCCTGTGAAAAAAAGATTTACATTAAAAAGGAACTTGAAAGGCTACAGATAAAGAGACATAATAAGAAACAAATACTACTGATGTGTTTTATTTCAATTTTAATTTCTCATGTGTATATAATACTAAGCTTTGGTTGTTCCAGATTCAATGTTTATGCAAAACAACTAATGTTGTTTCCATATGAAAGATTCTACATTACATATCTGGAAAGAAGGGAAAAACATGCACAATTGTCATAAATGTTCAATAAATATTACATTTGGACCGCGACTTTGTCCCAGTTTTTAATTTTGGCCCACTGTGAATATGAGTTTGACACCCCTGGCCTAAAGCTTAAAATTGGAAAAACTTGTATACAGGTAATATGTTTACAACCATATATGACTAATTCTAGATATGATTCATTACCAATCATTTATTGAACCAGATATTTTTGTGATTTTAGAGATTTCTTTCAGAGCAGTTTATGTTTACAGTGCTCAAAAAAACAACCCTGAAACGACTCCAAAAATTAAGATCTTACGGGGAATTTAAAAAGGTTGCCCTATTTCATCAAAAATATTTATTTTATGTACACAAAAGCTTATTTGGCAAAACCTGATTCCTTTTTGGTTCCACATACCAAAATATCTTTTCCAAAATGTTGGAAAATTAAATGTTTTGATGAGTTTTGACTTTGAACCAACCTTTAACTAAGCTACCAATCACATTGTGGACCATAAGCAAACACTGCTTCACTGGAAAATGATGTCCATTCACAACGTCACGCCACACAGCTCTCCCCTGTGGTAGGATATGGTATGACAAAAAAGTTCGATATGAAACTGACTTGATGGTTGTGGATGGACATTTGTTGCAATTTAATTCATTTGTGGAGAAGTTTAATTTAAAATGCTCTTGAGAATTTAATCAAATCTGTATAGCTATCACACTCCCCTGAAAATACATGATCCAAACATATCTTTCAAACATCTTTATCTAAAAATTGGTCAATTAAAATTTTGGTGAAGGAACTTGTACTAACAAAGTACTCAGAAATGTGTTTAAGGAGAAGCCATTCCATGATATAAAGAAAATCACAAAAAAACAAAACAAAACAAAAAAATTCCACACAAAGCAAAAGGAATTGCTGAACCTCTAAGAAAAAAGATTAAATCCTATGTTTAACAAGTTTCAGTTGATGATTTATATAGGTGGTTTGTCAAAGAAGACATCCAAGATGGTGAACATAATTCTTATTATGGGAAAATATTATATGCATAAGAATAAATGGGAAAACGGCAAACCAAATGCAGTGTTCTTTAATAAATTAAAAAACATCCTTAAAGGTATAATGAGAAGAAAAATCAGTGAAACCATGAAGTTACAATTCTGTTTTCTTTTGATACTCTTGAAATGCTATTTTCTTTGTTCATGTTTATTTTACTTTCATTTTGTACAGCACACTTGTTGAGATGTACTGTATACAACGTATCTTCACATAGAATACAAATGTAGATAGATAGCGAGATAGATAGATAGATAGATAGATAGATAGATAGATAGATAGATAGATAGATAGATAGCAAGCAAGCACTTTATTAATCCCTCGGGGGACTCCAGCAGCAGCACAGCACCAAAAAACAAACAAACAAACAAAAAAAACCCCAGTAAAAACACACAGATAGGTAAAATAAAATAATACCTAATAATACAATAAAATAGAAACACGAGTAGTAGCACACTGTCGATGAATATTGGAAACCTGAAGAGTGGATGTTAGTAGGTTAGATTAGTAGGTTAGTAGAAGTACATAGATAGTCTTAGTAGTATTAATACATTAGTAGGTAATTATTGTTGCGGTGTATGGTCTTGTTGATTGCAATCTCAATTATTTGCTATTATATTTCAATTATACCATTGTTAACCATTGTTAACAATTACTACACAATACTAATTTAACTAGAACTACTATATATATTATACTAGTATAATTATAAGGATGTTATGTGAACAGGTATGAATAGATGAATAGAGAACTAGATATTGGATAGCTAAAGCTTTATCCAGTATCTCTGTAATGAATAACAAGGTCTTCTTTATAAATCCATCCATCCATCCATCCATTTTCATCCGCTTATCGATTACCGGGGCACGGGGGCAGCGGTCTCTATGACCGCCATCACACTGCACTGTACCAACCCTCCTGAACCTTCCTGCGGGTGGTGAGTCCACTGGAAGTTACCAACCGCCCTAACCAAGATTCGATCTTGCCCAGGAGGTGAACCCTGGGGTTCCACACCAATGACAAAGACATTGCCTCTGGGCCAAAGTGCCACTTATGCTGTTTAGAAAATCGTTTGAATGTTACTGTGATTTATTAACATATTTAAGTGCATTAGCATCACCAACATATATACATAAAAGAATGAATGTACTGAACTTTCGTGGTGCTAACCATCACTCAGCAAACACAAATAAACATTGGTAAAGATAGAACTGTTGTCTGTCAAAAACAAACATTACTCTCCTTTCATCAACTTTTCCTTTTAACATCCTTTGATAATCATTTAAAGTTAACTGGCATACAGCAAGCAATTGTAATTAAAAAAACATACTCTATGTTGTAAAAAAAAACAGAAAAACAAATACAGGATGCTAGTAATAATACTTTTATAAGCATTTGGCTTCTATGATGAGGTACCCTAAAATATTTACAAGACAAAATGTCATGGTTTAATGAATACCGTCTGCAGGGCAAATTCTGTGACGCACTCATCAAAGTTGAGAATGTGGAATACAAAATCCACAAGGTCATCATAAGTGACTGCAGTCCTTATTTCATGTGAGTTGATAATCACAAGGCCCGCTTTATTTTATGTGACAGTTTTCTTCTTTTGTGCTTCTGGTTGAAAACATTTGACCTCATCTGTGTCCCTATAAAATATAAAATATATTTTCTCTCTTTTATTCCTCTATCTTTGATCTTTAGACCTTTCTTTGAATTCCACTCATCAACAGATGCTTCTACCTTTGATATGTTTGGCCTGTGTCCTGATACAATGCGGCTCATTATTGAGTTTGCGTATACTGGCTCTGTTTCTGTCACAGAGTGCAATGTAGAGAAGCTAATGTTGGCATCAGACATGCTCAACATAATGAGTATTGTTCAAGTGTGCTCAGACTTCCTTGGCGAGCAACTCAGCCCGGAGAACTCCATTGGCATCTGGAAGTTCTCAAAAGTCTGCAGCTGCCCCGAGCTGCAGCTCAGAGCCTCTCACTACATCTTTCATCACTTTGAGGAGGTCTTTTCCTGTGAAGAATTTCTGCACCTCACCATGCAGGAGCTCAATGAAATCTTAGGTAGAGATGAGCTTAGTGTGAAAAAGGAGGGCACCGTGTTTGAGGCCATCCTGCACTGGGTTGCGCACAAACCCAAGGAGCGTTGCAAGAACCTTGCAATGCTCTTTTCCAAGGTACAATATCTCAGCTATGTACTTGTATCTATGGTCAGTGACCATTTTGTGTGTTTGACATTAAACACTGCTGTGAGCTTTGATGAGTTGATTTAAAACCTGTCACAGAATATAAATGTATACATTTTTCGTATTGATTCTTCTTGATTCTTACCACAACTTGTTCTTTCCCCTTTCTATAGTTCCGTGTTGCCTTGACAAGTGCTCAGTACATTCACAGTTACGTGTTGACCAATGAGTTTGTGAGAAGCAATGCCGAGTGCATCGAAATGGTTAGTGATGCAGTCAAAACCATACATCAAAGCAAATTTTCTGATGGCACTGTTTTGCGCGATCCTTTGGCTCGCCCTCGTCTGCCCGGTGCTACACTGTTGGCCATTGGAGGCTGCAGCGATGAAAGGTGTTTAGGGGAAATTGAAGCATACAATGTCTGTGCTGACCTGTGGGTCACACTTCCAAACACTTTGACGACTCCACGGGCAGATCATGGCACTGCTTTCCTGAATGGGTATGTATACGTTGTTGGTGGATTTGACGGAGAGGTTTACTGCATCAGTGTAAGCAGACTGGACCTAGTCAAGCATACTTGGCAAGATGTGGCACCAATGTATCATTGTCGTGGCTTGGTGAGCGTAACAGTGTTGAATGGGTTCATCTATGCAATGGGAGGCTACGATGGCTACAATCAAATAAGAAGTGCGGAGTGCTACAGTCCTGAAATTGATGAGTGGAAGTGTATTGCACCCATGTGCCAATGGAGAAGTGAAGCAGGCAGTACTACACTAGATGATAAGGTTTGTGAAGTAGGGTAAGCACTTTACCTTTCTGATAGGCACTAGATGACAAGTCTAGGGTTGGCTGATTTAGGATTCAGAATGAGCATATGATAGGACTTATGACTCTTAACACAGTGGTTCACAAACTTTCTCTGCAGGCCCCACCACATCCTCCCATCTTTAACAAATCTGTTTTTTATCCAGTTGAACATTTACAACATTGGACAATATGCTGTGTTAAGGTTTATTCATTCAATCCACGCCCCCCATCCCCTGCAATGGAACTGCGGGGGTCCACATTGGGGACCTCTGTATTAACACATAAAAAGAAACAATTTGCCTTTTAAGATTTTATTTTAAGAGCCTCAAGTCACTAGGTGGCAGCAACTCATACAGATAAAAATATACATGTTCTCAATCAATACTCTCAATAGTATTTTATTTTGCGGGGTGTGGGCCTGACGCAAGGGGAGGGGCGCTGGGTGGGAGGGTTGGGGGGTAAAAACAGTTCTGTCCCCACAGTTCTGGGCATGATGGAAAATGATTGAGAACCAATGTAACCATAACATTTAGATTTAAGAGTTGGGTTTGTATTTGATATCAAACCTTGAGCTACTAGGAATGACAGGCATGGTTTCTACCCCTGTATCACTACTGCTTTTGAGCAGATGTTTAGTATGGGAAGGATTTCAAAAACAAAAGTCTAAAAACCCAACTTCCTGGTTTTACAGGATGCTGCCACGCTGTGTTTTTCCTACTTGTCCATATTAGAGCCAAGCTAATAGTATTAAGAAATATTTGTTTAACATAACATGATAAATTTAAATAAAGGTGTTGGTTTGCATGATGTTAAGTATGTAAAACATACCGCAATTTGTATAGATTGTGAGTATATTCACAAACAACAGAACCCAATCTCCATTTTCTTTCTTCAGATATACATTTGCGGGGGATTTAAAGGTCAAACATTCCTGCAGACAGCTGAATGTTACAATCCAAACACCAATCAATGGACTATGATCACTCCTATGATCAGAAGACGATGTGAACATGGTGTTGTTGCTCATGCAGGCTGTGTCTATGCAGTAAGTACATTAAACATTACTATGTTTGGGGACGCACCAAATTTTAAGTACTGAAAAAATTAGGGATGTCTGATATTAACGACTGGCCGATATTAACAGCTCGATATTAGCATAATTATGTAACAATGGTAAGCATCGTTATTGGGTTTCCTCCAGTAATGAAAAAACAATAACGCAATGCCTGGGTTTCACCATATATGCTGAAGACACTAAAACTGTATTTTGTACAGACCTTCAAATAGTTTTAGGGAAAAATGGCTGCAAGTATCCATATCCGAATCAGAAAATTTAACATTTGAATATCGACAAAAACCTAATATCAGACATCCCTGAATACAATGATCACCAAGTTACTATCATATTTCCCCTCACTATTCTCACATTATTCTCACTTTTCTAATACAGGTTGGTGGTAATGATGGCATCTGCTGTCTCAATTGCACTGAGGTCTTCAACCCCCAGAACAACACCTGGCATATGATATCTTCTATGAAGACACCCCGTAGCAAGTTTGGCCTTGGTGTGATCAATGGGCAGATTTATGCTGTTGGTGGCCGCACAGGGGCAGGTATTACCAGTAAAGTTGAGTACTACGACAGTACAAAAGATGAGTGGTTTCTTGCATGTGACACAAAGAGGCCCTGCATTAGCTGCAGCTGCTGTGTGGTGGTCGGAATACCTAACATGGCAGAGTATGTTTACCCACGGAAAATGAAGAGTAATAAAAATGTCTAAATACAAAACAAAGGCTGCGACGACAAGTTGACCAATATTCAATGGCAAAATCGGTCAAAGACTCATGTCTTTGTTTGTATCCCCAGACATGCAATGTCATGCTAAACAATATTAACTTTAGAGACATCTCACTTTTCCCACATCATTGATGCACTGACAGTACAGCAGAACCTATGGAATTGCTGCTTGCAGTATTTGTTGAATATTTGATATTTGCTTATGCATTCGGATTGTTGCACTCAAAATGTTTATTTTTTAGGAAAGCAATTTTTTATTATAATAAATAAAAAAAGTCTTTTGTACAGTTCAAAAGCAGTCGTTTAGAGTAGTTAATGTCTAGTCCAGTGGTTCCCAATTATTTTCTGTCCCCTTTAGCTGATCTCCTGGTTGCCAGTTACGTATACTTGAGTTTTCAGTGTAATCATATTTCAGCCATCACGTGTTGGACGGGTGAAAGAAATCTGCCTTGCCGACTGAGCTGCCTTTTTTCCCCCTCTCTCTTTGTTTTTCTTCTGTTCAAGCTGCACTTGATTGGTCAGCTACACCATGTGCGGTAGTGTCTGTGTTTGCACTGAGCCTGAGGAGAAGGGGTGGGCTTACAAGCAGCATAGCACAGACACTGAAAGAAAGAAACAAGAGATAGGGAAATGAGCGAAGCTGCTGCAAAAACAGAGGTTAAAAAAATGAGCAAGAGTAGAAACCACAAAGTCTGGATGATCCACTGCAAAAGATTACAATAAGAGACCGGTCCCTGTGTTAAATTAAGATTGCTCTTTGTTTTTTTGTATTTTAATTAAAAAAATATTTTATACCATGTTGATGTCTTATTTATATTTTGTTGTGCCATTCTTTTGTAGTTTTATTTCGTTGCAAATAGTTACAAGTTTATAAATATAATTACATTAAAAAATTGATTCTTTTAGTTTTGTTTCCTACCATCAACTCCTTGAATGTTTAGGGAAAGCTTTTCTTTAGCGTTGGGTCTGTACCACATAACTCCCTATTTCGCCTACTCAGGCATAGGAGTTAAAAGGCTTAAAGGCAACGCTGGAACTTACTCTAGCAAAGTCCTAGGATCCAGTGGGGGCCAAGCTTTCTCCACTTTCTCAACTGAAAGGAAATGTTCTTTGGTTGCTGAGACTCAGCAGGCAAAGGCAGCCCTCATTCATCAGGACATTTGAGGGTTGTACTCTGATAAGGATAGGAGGCCTTGGCATTGTCCTGGCAGAAAGCAACACCTTTGTGACACTAAGGGTTGATAGTGATGTATGCCAGGCTAAATAAGGTAGTGGGCTGCACCAAAGCAGTCGCCAATGGGTGCAATGGACAGAGGCTGACAAGAGAACAAGAGAAAGCTATGGGGAATGGACACATCAAACTGGATTCCTTTTTCGAACCATCTATGATGTCCTCCCATCCCCAAGAAATCTTAGCCAATGGTATGGAGAAGACCCCACTGTGTCCATCTCCAGCTGGCCTGAGACATATTCTGGTTTGATGTAGGACTAGCTTAACACAGCAAAAAGAACAAAATGCTCTTAAGCATGACGTACGGTCAGGGAAGGGAGGGGAGGCTGTCTATTTTTAACGTTTTCATATGGACAAATTGCCGAATTTGAGTATTTTGCCATCAAGTACAGGGCAGAAATCCTGGGTGAAGCAGTGGAGAGCTGTCCCTCATATCTGACTGCGTGATCCAATACAAACTGGGTTGCATGATGCATGCCCGTCTCTGTTCTTCAGCATATTGCCAATATAAACTTTACAAAAATATTTGTTATACAGCATGACTCTCTACAGTCTGTGTAATGTCTTTAATGTATGTGCGAGAGAACTGTTTCTGCTGATCGTACAAGAAAGTACAGAGAAAAGTCAGCAGGGGAGGCAGGCAGGGGCGTCTGAAGGTCAAAATTAAATTTGTGCTGCACTCATGCTCTTTTCAGTTCTTACAATTATAAATCGAACTTCAGATGAGTCAGTGCCTTACCAGCCTTGAACCTCACCGCACGTCACTGGTCTTAAGAGATACACACAGCACTTCCATGAATGTAACTGAAAGAGATTGGCAATAGCTTTTGATTTTATTAAGAAAAACATATTTTGTAGTTCTTACGTGTTGAGTTGAAGCCATATATGGTAAATATAAAACATTTAATAGAATGTATGTTTGTACATTAATAATACATTGTACACATAATTTAGCATCATTGTTATAACTTAATTAAGGCAACAGAAAATATGGGGAACCATTTTGAAGCCAAAAGAGTAGGATCTGTAGTTGAATCGAACTATAAAATTTGGTTTTCTGTGCTGGAATCCCCATCATTACATAACAAAAAGAGCTTTTGAATATGATTAGTGAAATTCTGGGCCATAGCAGGTTCTCCTCTTGTATTTTTTGTTAAATGTCATAATGTCACCTATAGATTTAAACTATTCTTGAAAAGCATCATCAAAACATTTAAGAATCTTAGTCCAATAATTTATATAAAGCTGATTTAAAATGTTACATTTCTGGACATGCATATTTTGTTTTGGAGACAAAAAAAGAAAGATAATGACTTTTTTGCTAAACTTATTTTTTAAATAAGTAATACATAACAAATAATAATCCGATTTATGCTTTAACAGCCTCATCTTGTTAAATATTATTTATTTTCTTTATAAAAAGATAGAAAAAAATATATATTATACATATATTAGTTCAGCCTATTGTCCTGGATCTGCAATATTTTTTGTTCCTCATGGGGAAAATAATTCCCCACACCTGATCAAGCCTGTATTTAAGACATATAAATCGTTTAATTGGTGTATAACATTTTCAAATATTACATTATTACAAGTAGGCTACATTGGGTCACAAACTCTAATTTTTGTCTTTCTTTCTTTTCTTTTTGTATGACATGCTCGAATAGAAATGCGGCGTTAACATTTCTTGTCACAATAAACTACAATTCCCAGAAACGCCAAGGTGTCAGGAAACAAGCGTTAAACGCCACGATGCGCGGCCCATTGGTCCATTTATTCCTCAGGCATACTGTAGGCAGGGCTTGTGGTGAAGGGATAGAAACAGCCGTAGCGCCTTGTGCAAGGTGGGTGTGACGCTGCATCTCAATCATTGTTTTTGTCGCGAACGAGTAAGTATAAACGTATTGTTGATTTACAATGAAAAAAAAAAACAAAAAACAAGGTCAAATATTCCTGCTCAAATGCACTTTATTAAGTTTTCGGTTTTCTGCATGATATGTTGATTCTTTCTAACGTCTTTGTTTTTCTGCTCTCCGTTTACCGTTAAACGTTCTCGTTATTATGCGATGTGTCCGTCAATTTGACAAAGTTCATGGACAAAATAGATAAAGCGGGTGAGTTTTTTGCTGTTCATGGCACCAGTTTCTGCTTTGCAGGGAATTCGCCAATTGTATGATGCCAGGCACGTCACTGGCACCGACTCATAGACAGGGGTAGACTCTAAACAAAGAGGTCTTTATCATTGGTATCAAAAGGCTGTGTATTTGGATGGGTGCATAAAAAACATTGTTTGTTACTCTTTCTCGCTCAAACACCTTTTATCTAAGTAGAGCTACAGAGACATTTGGGCTTTTCCTTTGTCGTTGGTCGGCGTAGTGGTCTGGCACAGTTCAATACCTTTACCACCCAACCAATTTGTTTCCATTTAAGCTATATGATTGTAATTTGTTGGGTTTTTTCCCCTCATCCATAAAGGCAAATTATTTTTGCGGCTGAGACATATTTAGGTTAGTCACTAATATATATATATCTATATATATATATATATATAGATATAGATATATAGTAATAATACCCCAAATGCAATAAAGGAAATTACTGTTGAAGAAAGAGTGAAAGAATTAAAAAAATGTTTTTAGTGTTAAATTTCTTTGAAGACAGTCACTGTGTTGCCAAGTGCTAGATAAATTAAGCGTGGTCTGTGCCGCCACACACGTTTTTTTCTTCTATATTATGTACACCGTAGATGAAGTCTTTGTTCGAAAGAGCCGTATTAAATGGTCTCGGTTAATTAATACATTTTTTATTCAGTGTTGAGCTGCACTGCTTTCTGGTTGGCAATGCGTGGTTGTCAGGGTGTGAATTCAAGTATTATCCTAAGCTGACACAGAAACCTGCGGCTGGTGTCTTTGAAGGACACGCTTTTGTCTCTTATCAAAAGACGTAAGTGAATATGAAGAAATCTGCCAAATATCGGTGTGCGAAACATAAATGTTTTGTTTGGCTAAATGGGCGGTGGTTGGTTGCATTTTAAACAATGGCCGCTGTGTGTCCCCAATGAGTTGAATTATAGCTTGTGACGATACAGGGGACTGTTTGAAATATGTATCGTGTTTGATGTTCTATAAATAACTGAACGACGAGCTTCACCAAAAAGAGGTATGGACAAACAAACAAAATAAATAAAACAATCTTCTCTGACCTATATAAGACTGACCTTCTGTATTGCTCCTAGAGGAACATTGCTGCTGTCCACTGGAAGATGTCTGACGGTAATTATATAATTGTTATCAGAGTGTGATGCAGAATATCTTTAAGTTAATGATGCTGTACTCAGCTTATTTAACTATGCGCTGAAGTGGTTCCTCTCTGTTTAGAAATTAAGGTCAAAGAACTTGACAAGAGAGCCTCAGGCACTGCCTATGAGGTCATCTTAGGTGCCGGCACCCAAGATGCCAAGGGAGAGTTTCCCTTGTCTGCCCCCAAGAAAAAGGATGTCTCATTGGAGGAGATTCAGCGGAAGCTGGATGCAGCAGAGGAGCGACGCAAGGTAAAGAAGTTTCACATAACACAAGCAATTGTTTGTTAAATACGTGATCAGGCTGTCAGTGTGATGCTAAAGAAGCTAAAATATTTTTTTAAATGTTTAAATATTAAATATATATATTAAAATATATTTAAATATTTTTCAGAATCATGAAGCTGAGGTACTAAAGCACTTGGCAGAGAAGCGTGAACATGAAAAAGAAGTGCTACAAAAAGCTATGGTGGAGAACAATAACTTCAGTAAGATGGCCGAGGAAAAGCTAACCCAGAAGATGGAGGCTAATAAAGGGAACCGCACAGCCATTATGGCTGCAATGACTGAAAAATTTAAGGAGAAGGTAGGAGTTTAAAGTTGATTTTAAACGGTCTCTTTTAAACCATTTTGGATATTAACATTTCCCATGCTCTTAAACAGGACAAAAAGTTGGGGGAAGTGCGGAAGAACAAGGAAACAAAAGATCCCACCTCAGAAGGCACTTCAGAAGACTGAAGGTTTAAAATAGGGAATTGTGTTTAGGAGTGTTATGTATCCAAAGATTGTTTTTTGTTTTATGCCCAGGTAGGTTTTGTGTGTCTTCACTACCAGAGATATAAAGAAATATACACCAATTTTAATTTGTTGTAGTGTAATCGTGCTGTTATAACATACCCCCCCCCCACCTTAAGACCAATGTGTAGCTTGTCAGAACATATTTAGCCAGTTTCAGACTTTTAACACAGTTTGTGTCCTTTTTGCATTAAGCCTGACAAAAAACTGTTAAAACATGGGTTTTTTAAAAATGTTTCTTTGCCATGTTTCTAGAGCCACGCCTTGTTTTTGCACCAACTGTAAATCAAAAAAAAAAACAGCACAAGATTGATCCTGGCACTCGCTGTTTTAATCGATTAATGTGTAGCTTTGTTCAAATTTTGTGCAACCACTAATGTGCTTTTGTGTAAATATCAAGTCATGTCTTTAAGCACACAATATGATGTTATATAGCAGTGATGGAACATGGCTAAAATATTGTTGGTACCATTTTCAATTTCAGGAAACAGGGAACTGTAACACAATTTGGCGTCATAGTAATAGCAGTTCAGAGTCAAATCCTGTGCAAAAGCTAAAAAACAAGTGTCTTAAAATAAATAAAAGTATGTCCCTATTCCTGGTTTATGTTCATTGCTGAAAATGGCCCAATAGGGAAAAAATGCTGCCATATTAATTGTTATTCTAAATGGACAAACTAACTTTCAATAATGCTAGTTTCATCCGATGTAAGATTTTACAAGAGTATGATGTATTTCGTATCAAAACAAAACTTTAGTTTGTCTCCAAATGTCACCCTGGGATGGACTGGGGAGCTGTCAAAGGGGTATTGCATCTTTACCCAAAGGCAAATGTGATTGGCTCCAGCCATTTCTGTTTAATTTAAAAGTGTTAAATGTTAGGAGAGAAATAACTGTAAATTACGATTATTATTAATTTATTTATATAGCACCATCATACAAAAATATAAGGTGCTGTACAAATAAATGGTTAAAAGACCCAACCACACATACTCACTCACTCACACATGCACAAACAGTGACAAACATATACATGGGAACCTCGAGATACGAGCGTCTCAATATACGAGATACAAGCAAGCCTTTGAGCAATTTTCGCTTCGAGTACTCGGAGCAGCCCACGCAGCATCAAACAAACTAATACTAAAATATTTTAGTAAAATACTTACTTAAAATACTTAAAATCAATCCTAATCAAAATTTTAAACAAAAAGAGTAAGAGAAAACAAAATTATTCCAGTCCCAAAGAAGCGTAGCAGCCATGTTGTTGCCCACACACCACTGATCACAAACTTCTCTGATTATGTAGAGTTAGAAATAATAAGGAAATGTAAATAATATCACAAATCAGATAAAAGAAATACAAACACCGCAATTATTTTTAAAATGTATTATTTCTATTAATTTAGTCATCCATTGGTACTCATAATACTACACTGCTATGACATGCTAGGGCACTAGATCCTCGCATTTGTGGTAGAATGGGATTTATTTTCCCAAATGGGATTTATTTCCCGTTACCGGGTCACGGGGGCAGCAGTCTCCATGACCGGCACCTAAATCACACTGCACTGTAACAACCCCCCCAAACCTTCCTGCGGGTCCACCTTAAGGTACCAACCGCCCTAACCGAGATTTGAACTTGCCCAGGAGGTGAACCCTGGGATCCCACACCAATGACAGAGACATTGCCTCTGGGCCAAAGCACCACTTATTTTCATTTATATTCATTACATTATTGTGGCAGATCAAGGCTTTATAAAGGCTTTATAAAGTAATTTATTGTTTTTAACAGACTTGAACAGATGGAGTCATAACCATTTACATTCCAATATATTTGAGACTAGTCTCAATTGCTGCCTGCAACCTTTACTTACGACCACCATGGAGGGAATATTGCTGTTCTTTTCTCATTTCGTTTTTCTTTTCGCTGTCTGTTCGGTGAGGTACCGCCCATACTTCCACTGCAAGCTTCCGCTACAAGCCTCTGCCCTGCTGTTGCATTTTAAAGTTCAAATTAATACATTTTCCTGAAAAAGTAAGTACACACGAATGAAAGAAGTTTTACATTTGCTTGTGTATTTATTTGATTAGTAGTAAAGTGTGTCTCACTAATTAAGTATATGACGTGAATATCATAAATATCAGGTAGTGACTAGTCCTGGGATAGACTTGAGTGGGGCAACAGTGGAAAATGAGCACCAACGCTCCCTCCTAGGAAGAATCAAGGTGTGTTCTCCCAGCATCCTATGGATCATACGCACACGCACACGGTGCAGCATGAAATTCCTCTGGTGGACTCAAAGGCCTTTAGACTGCCTTATCGCAAGATTCCCCCTTCCCAGTGGCAGGAGATGAGGGAGCTGGTGACAGAGATGGAGGAAGCAGGAGTTATTCGGCCCAGTAAGAGTCCCTATGCATCACCAGTGGTAGTTGTAACCAGGAACATTGAGTCTTTGCGGCTCTGCATTGACTATAGAAAGCTCAACTCCTATAGCATGCGGGATACTTTCCCACTGCCCAGAATAGAGGAGGCTCTGGAGGCCCTGGGGCAAGCAAAGTACTTCTCCACACTTGATCTTACCTCTGGATACTGGCAGGTGGAGGTGGCGGAAAAGGACAAGCGTAAGACAGCATTCAGCACTCCCATGGGACTCTATGAGACCAACAGGATGCCCTTTGGATAGCAGTACGCCTCTTCCACCTTCCAAAGGCTCATGACCTGCTGCTTTGGGTACCTGAACTTCACTCATCTCCTGATCTACCTTGATGACCTGATTATCTTTTCAAAAACCTTTGAAGAGCATCTAGACAGGTTGCAGTTGGTGTTCAATCGGCTGCAGGAGCATGGGCTCAAGTTAAAACCCTCAAAGTGCATGCTGGTTAGAAAAGAGGTACAGTATCTAGGTCACTTGGTGTCTGCAGAGACGCCATCTTTATGGCCGCAGTTTCTCTGTACTCACCGACAACAATTTGTACGCCTTCAACTTCAACATCCAGTATAGGAGGGGACAGTTTAATGCCAATGCCAACGCCCTGTTCCACTTGTCCAACCAGGAGGTCACTCAGGCCCTGCAGATCTGTCCACAACAGGTGAATGACACATGACGGGGGCATGGTGATGTACAACCCTTCCTGGACTCACCCCAGCCAGAGAACGCTGAGCCCTATGAAGAAAGTGGGGACGCTGCCTGCCATGTCTACACAAGAGATCCGTGCGACTCAGAAAGAGTCCTGTTCTTTAAATGTCACAACCAGAAACCCAGCCGTAGCGAGAGAGGGGGAGTTGTAGGGCAAGGCTGCCTTCTTGTAAAAGAGTGGAGGAGGTTAGTGGTGAGGAATGGCGTCATGTTCTGCCAGATCAGAGACTGCCAAAGAGGTGTAGTGGAGCAGCTCATATTACCTGAAAAGCTGAGGTTGGCAGTCAAGACCTCACTCCATGATGACTCAGGGCACTTAGGGTTTGAGAGAACATTACAGATGATAAGGGAGAGATTTTACTGGCCACGAATGTTCCAGGAAATCAAAGCTTGCTGTGAACAGTGCAAGAGGTGCTGTCTCAGGAAGCAGTCCTCAGGGCTCCCCTTGTCAGCATTCACAGTGGTGCACCCACGGAGCTTGTTTGTGTGGACTTTTTGAGCCTTGGAACAAAAGGGTGATCCATCGCAACCTCCTTACGCAGTGCATGTTCTTCCCAGTGGAGGTTGGTGGAAATATCATGGAAGATGTGGAGATGGAGGGAGTGGCTGAGGAGAACTGTGGAGGATAACATGGAGGAAACTGAGGAGATTATTCTGCCTGGAGGAGTGAGCAGAGATGATGAAGGCATGAACACAGAGGAGGACTTGGATCCAAGGGGAAAGGAGTGACCAAGGGGATGCTCCTGAAGCTTACAGTAGGGCCAGTCCACCTCAGGATCAGAGGACCTGAAGAACAAATCCTCCAAAGAGGAGATGCCCTCCAAAGCGACTAATATGCCAGTTGGGGGTGACAAGAGAAACTGACCAGCAGAAGATAAAAAGGGGGAGGGAATTGTGGCAAATGGCCAAAGGAGAGCAGCTGGAGTTATGTATTGTTTTTTTATTGTGCCAGTTATTGGTTGTGAAGATGTGGTCCTTTCGTTCAAGGGTGTGTTATTTTCGGTTGTTGTAATGACATCAGGTACAGAGGGGGCAGATATAGGGAGTGGATTGTGTGCACCGCTGGGAAGCATTATTTTTGCATTCTCCCTTTGCACTGTTTGTTTTGGTGGGGACACCATTGGGCCACTGTGTTGGGCCGGGCGCGGCTCCGTGGGGGCTCAGTCCGTGTGTCCTTCCAATCAAGGTAAACAGTGCACCTAATGGCGCCCCAAAGTTGTAAAGTATAGGATGGTGGAAGCTGCCCATATTATATTATATTGTTTAGTGTATTGTGGGGTGTTTGGGTGTTGTGCCGCCGGTTCGCTGCTGGTTTAGGGGGCTAACATGTTTTGGTGACAGTGTAATGTCAAGAGTTGTCGCCACTTAGCTGCAGGTGTGTTGTACACTACCACCGATTAGCCGCAGCGGTTCATGCAATTTGTTTTGTGTTGTTTGATTTTGGGTTATGTTCACAAATCCTGTTATGCTCATATGTTCATGTGATAAATGTTAAATTTTAACATATGTTCATATGTTAAAATCAGTCTGTGTGTCGCTCCCATCAAGGGTGAAGCAATAAATGGTCTCAGCCACAATCCGAACCCTAGCATCTGATGTGTGAGTCTCCCTGCACCACACCCCATTCCCCCACTAACACAAGGCAGAGTCCTGGGGTGTACGTGTTATCAGCAGCAGAAAGGAAGGAAAGGAAAGTGAACTCCTTGTCATTGTGACATTGTGACACACACCACTGCACACAATGAAATTTGACCTCTGGATTTGAGCGCCCGGGAAGCAGTGTGTGGGGATGGTGGCATGCTCAGAGCACCTCAGTGGTAACTTGGCAGCTAGTGGATTCAAACCAGAAGCCAGAGACCCAAGTCCAATTCCTTAACCACTACTGCCCTGGGCGTGGGTTACATCATACGTGTCAAACTCAAGGCCCGGGGGCCAAATGCGGCCCGCCAAGCCATTTCGTGTGGCCCGCGGGAGCTTAAAAAGCATTTAGTAAAGTCCATGCAGCAGAGTTTTTTTACCTAAGAAATTACGTTTTTATAATCAATCAAATAATAATAATAATAATAAATAGCAGAAACATGTATTAGTCTGTTATGGAGTAGTTACATCTATACCAGCGGTCCCTAACCTTTTTTGTTCCAAGGATTGGTCAGCCAGTACCACCCATTAGTACAGACCTGGTACTGGTCCACGGACCAGGGGTTGGGGACCCCTAATCTATACAGTCTTCCATTTACAACTGGCCCTTCAAATGGAACTGTATTGCTAATGTGGCCCCCGGTGAAAATGAGTTTGACACCCCTGGGTTACATGTACATACGAGTGAACGTAACCGGTTATCGAGTGTGAAGTGTATGCTAAGTAGCTAATGCTAATGCCTGTATCGTAGCGAGTGAAGAAAATCTATGCACAAAATGTATGGAGATGTTTTTTTGGAACATGTTTTTATGCCATAT